CACGTGCCCGGGGTAAGGAGCGGGAGCGGCTCGCGGGGGGTTCCGCTCCCGAAGGCTCCTGCGCATTAAACGCGGCCAGACTGACCCTGCGTGTTGAGCATTTGCTGCGTTGCCCCCGGGTCTTCCCACCCGCCCCCTGCTCCGAAAGCGCCCCGAGGGAGAGCGTAGCAGCCGGCTCCCTCGGCCTGACGCAGGTTTGCTAAAGGAGGGGTTTGGCCTGAACGTCCATAACACCGCACCTGTCTTGTAACCGGCCGTACGGAGGCGGGTCTTGCTGCGACTGGCCTCTCTACATCCAGTCAGCTGTTCCTCTGTCCCAGGAACAGGAGCTGTGCGGTATCCACAGGAAGAGGGCGCCGTTTTAGGCCAGCCCATCACTGCTCTATATGCAATCGTCTTTGCCTTTTTCTTGTACGGTCAGGGAGTCCAGGCAGGCCTTGTCCCCTGAATCACATTCCTGAATGGAGTAACACAAGTGTATCTTTATTCAGTCCCTCTTGATATGGGGCATTGCATGGTTCTCAGCATCCTAATCTCATGAGTGTCCTAAGATTAGGACATCCTAAGACATGAGTGTCATTAATCACTTTCCTGTTCTGTTAATTCCTTCTGGGGCACATGGCATGTCAGAAGACAGGACACGGAGCTAGATGAACCTTTGGCTGACCCCATGTGGCTGTTCTCACAGTCTAATCACTAACAAAGTGCTCTCCCTTATAGAGGAGACAAAAGCAGTCCCTACCCCAAGAAACAAATACAGCAGAGCGTAAAATGTTGATTTATGATTAAGAGCAAATGAAGAAGAGGAATCTTTATAAATAATAGATGGTGTTAGTGAGTGACCAGCGTATGAGGGTGTTTGGGCACAGCCTTAGCCTTAACAAAGTAGGCTTTGAAGTAGGAATAAGAGATCCTCCGGAAAAGGGCTTTTTTCCGGAGGATCGGGGCCAGTGTAAACGCTCTTTTCCGGCTTTTCTAAAAGCCGGAAAAAAGCGGCGGACATTTTTATTTAAATGCCGCGGGGGATATTTAAATCCCCCGCGCATTTCCCTATTACGACCTGTGAAATTAGCATGCCCCTTTCGGAAAAGGGGCCAGTGTAGACGTAGCCCATGTGTAATTTGGTGATAAAGTTCTTTTGTAGAAGAATGGCTACTTTTAAATCCATTATTGAATGTCCACGGAGGTTAAATTGTTCCCCTACAGACTTATGTGCATTACCATTTCTGATGTCTGATTTGTGTCCACTTATTCTTTGGCACAGAAACTGTCCAGTGTGGCCAATATACATGCAGTGGGGCATTGCTGGCACTTGATGACATATCACATTAATGGATGTGTAGTTGTATGAGCTCCTGATGATGTGGCTTACGTGGTTAGGTCTTGTGATGATGTTGCTTGTACGGATATGTGGACAGAGTTGGCAAAGCGGTTACAGAGGTAGATTCCTAAGAGACTAGCTGTGGTGTGAGGAGTTGGTAGATACTGATACACTCCCTCTCAGGAGTGTTCTCTTTTTTGAAAGTTCAGATATGGTAATGGTAACCCTACTAGTAGGAAGTAGTTATGGTTTCACAAGCCTTAATGTAAAGTAAGGAAGTGGGGGTTATTTTTGTTCCAGGAGAATTGTGACCTCACACTCAACGAGACTTGTGTCTCTTACGTTTCTGTTCATTTATAAACTGGCAACTTTGGTCTGACACTGCATTTTTACCTTAAATTAATCAGACATCTAATCTAAGTGGAAATAGTTTTTCCAATTCAATATGTGATTACCTATATATTCTATGTTTTGATGCAGTTTAATGTCAATTTGTGCTCTTGTGTATCTTTGTCTGAACTGCATTTTGATAAGTATTGTATACCCTTTATTATAAACCTGTTTTCTCACATGCAGATGTTGAAAATCAACACAGTGACTTATTTCATGCTTTCTTTAATATAGCACACAGCAATGCATTGTCTTCTTTGGGCACTTGTGTCCGCTACCATCTCTATTTATTTCTAATCTAACCTGCCATGTAAACTGTGAGAGTTCTCTTACCCATACAGAAACTGAATGAAAATGACATGAGGGGGAGATTTTTTTTTTAAATACAAACTACTAATTGCAAAAAACCTACTGACCATCAACCTATTCTGCAAAGTGTTCAGTGACCATGCACTACTCATTCTCCTTTGCAGCACTTCTGTATACTTGCTATTAGATCTTAAGAGTCTCCCTTCAATGACTAGAGGAGTAGCCCTTAGGTGCTGACCTTGCAACCTTCTCTATGCAGACAAACCCCTGTGGGGAGCTCCTTTGCTTTCAGTGAGTCTCTGCAGGATACAGGGAGCCGGTTGCAAAATCAGGGCCTTGTTTGTAAGTTTTAGGCCACAGTTTCTGTTTTGTCTGACATGCTGCTCAACTGGAAAGTACCACACACAGCTAGCAGTACTTAAGTGCATCATTGTCAGTTCTGCAGTTCTTAACATGTTGTTGTCCTATGCACTACGTGAGTGCAGCTATCAGTACTACAAAAAGGTAATTTTCGTTCATAGCCGTTAAGATCAAAAGGAATCTTGATCATCTTGGTAGACCTGCTCAGCATAGGCCAAAGAGCTGGATTCATTTAGTAGTGTGTATATCACTGTATTCAGCTCTTCTTAACAGCAAAGAGCAGATAGTACCAGGTACATTTGGGAATCGTTATCCATTGGGCTGGAAAGTATCTGGTCTGTCTTCTCATTTCCTTGGTTTAAAGCGTGCATCAGAGAAGAATGCTGCCAGAATATACCTGCGTTTTGTCAGCTTCAAAGGCATTAACGTTGCAGAAAATACATGCGTCTCACCTACTGAGGCTTACTTGACACCCGCTGTCTACCAGGACTGCTCCACAGAGGGCCCCGTATGTGTTTCATGGTTCTGACAATCGAGGAAAGGGAATTCAGAATTTTGGGAACACTTCCAAGGCCACCTAAAGAGTCTCATTTGGTTCAATCCTGAATACGCTTTGTTCTTGATTCCAGTATTTACAGAACTGTGACTTGATGATGTTTATTTTAGATTTTTCTTCTTGTAAATTAACTGTGTAATTTTGCAGGTTCAAGAAAACTCTCCAGCTCAACAGGCTGGGTTGGAACCTTTCTTTGACTTTATCATCACAATAGGACACACCAGACTAGTAAGTGCCTAAAGACAAGTCATTGTTAAAGTAATGTAATAGTTTATTTACATTAGAGTTTTCATTTAGTGCTCTTGAAAAGTGTGGCCTACTTCACTCTGGAGGATTGATGCTCTCTTTAGTCAGAATGGCAACCACACAAGCTTCCCTATACCTTCTTGCCAGTGTACCTAAGCCCTGACCTAGAGGGATCTGCTGTGAGTGAAGTTATTGTTTGGTCTGGATGCTGATTCCGTCCTCAGCTTTTATTCTTTTTTGAAAGATCCTCTAAACCAAGGCTTTTATTTTCGAAAGAACCATGTTTAGACTGTGGTTTCACTTTCGAAATAGTGCTTTTTCGAAAGAGCACCATAACACGATTATGCAAATGAAGCATGGGAAATGCAAATCCTGGCTTCGTTTGCAATTTTGAAGTGTCTAATTTTACATCCCTGTGTTGAAAGAGGGATGTAGTCTAGATGTACATGGTGTGCAAGAGGAATGTGGGGAGTATCTTTCTCCTTCTCAGTCAGGGGCTTCTCACTTGTGTGTGGCCCCTGACTGATTTTTCTGAGGGTCAGTGGCCCCCAACCCAAACAAGGTTCTCCATCCCTACACTTGGAAGTAAATGAACATGCTTCTGATGTTGAAGGAGTTACCACTGTTCCTCCACTGAGCAATCCTCATTAGAGCAGAAGAAGAACAAGTGAAAAAGTTTGTGTATTTTTGCTAGATTTGAGAACAGAAGAGGAACAGGGTGATTGTCTAAATTATTTTGTCTGTGTTTTTGTTTTAAATGAAAACTAGGGATGTAAATGGTTAACTAGTGGGGACTCAGGCAGGGGGTGCTCCAGCACATCCAAAGCAGCCCTTGTCTGAGGAGGGCCTGGCCCAGGCAAGCGGGCTGGAGCAGCTCCTGTCCTTGGCAGCATGGGAGAAGGTGCTGCTCCAGCCCGCTTGCCCCGCCTTCCACCTTGGTCGGTTATCTGGTTAAGCATTAAGTCTAACTGGTTAACCAATTAAATGGGATTTGATTAAATGAAAAACTACATGAGGCAAACCTAGGCCTTAGTCTAGTCCAGTGTTTCTCAATCTTTTTTAAATAAAGTACTCCTTTAAAAAAGGAAGTACCCCCAGTACCTACAGTTTTCAGACACAAAATTGTTTTCTACCATTGCAACACATTTGTTTAAACAACTTAATCATATCCGGGCGGGCGGTGACATTTTTGGGTATTAAAAAGTACAAAAAATAATAAAGCACTGTATAACTTAAAACAAAACTTCAGTTTTCTGCAAAATTCAGTTGTGTTGATGTACCCCCCAGACTTCTCTCAAGTACTCCTAAGGGTATTCGTACCACTGGTCTAGTCTTAGTCTACATGAGGCAAACCTAGTCAAGGCCTGATCTAACTTCTGTTGAAATCATGGGACCCTTTCCTTTGACTTTAATGGGACTTGGATCAGGCTATCAAATACTTCAAAAATAGTGACAACTTCTCAGGAGAGCCTCCTACTTTTGTTTCCCTTCCCTCTTTTATAAGGCTCAGAGTCCATGATGCACTTACTTGGTATCTACTAAGGACTTCAGCCAGGGATCTTTATAAGATGGAGCTGTAGTTCATTGTACTATAAGTCCCTGAAGTCACTTTTACCTCGTGGCCAGTTGGGGCTAAGCCCCTAGGTTCTGTGCTTCTTGGCAGGGTTTTCGTCATGTGCCTCAAAGGCTCATGGTGTCTCTAACCCTGCCACGAAGGCAAGAGTATCCCACTTTCCGAGCCCTTTTCATTATGGGCAAGTCCAGGGTATGGGAGGTTAGCCCTTACATTAGGCCACAGAGCCTCTCCTGTTTCTTGCAGGCAGCTCACCAGCCAGGAAGGGGTTGGGGGAAACCCGGTCCCACCCACTTGCTCCAAGTTCCAGCCCAGGGCCTTATTGGGGGGGAGGGGGGGGGGGGAAGAGAGAGAGAAGACCCGAGTGGGGTCTGAGGCCTGGCTCTTGCCCCATAGACCACTTCCCCAACCCCTCCTGAGTACCTCCTCCCAATGCCTTGGGTTAGGCTTTGTTGCAAGCTGTCTTGGGTCAGTCTCTTGTGCTGGGCTGCTCTGTTCTCCTTCACTTCTCCTCCGGTCGGTCGGTCGGTCGGTCGGTCGGTCGGTCCATCCATCCATCCATCCATCCCTCCACTCCTTCCTTCCTTCCCTTGCCTGAGGGAGGGTTATTTATGGTGCATTCATCAGCCTTAACTGGCCTCAGGTGTTCTGATTAGCCTTCCCTTCAGGCTGATGGCAAATGGGCTTCAGGTGTTGAACTGCTGGGCCACAGTCTCTGGCAGCCTATAATGGGAACATAAAACTGCATACCCAGCTTCCTGTGTATCTGCCTTCCACTAGTGTTCGGCAGCCCCCTGCTCTCAGGCTGCCACATTCTATAGTAAACTGTTCTTAATAGTGGCCCTGCGTTGTGAACTGAAGCCTACATAACAGTTAAAATAATATTTAAAAATCTTCCCCAGGTTGCATCCTATCTTGCCCATCTTCCCATGCCTCTTGACTAGTAGAGTATCCTCTGGCATTTCCTATATCTGTTTTTCTGGCACAAGATTAGTCCCAAAGGGTTTTTAGGCTGTTAGAACTTGACATTTATTTAAACAAATGTCAACACTTGATTAAATATGAACATGAAAATGAATCATTAACAAGTGGGAATCTGCCATATGCTCAGTCTCATTAAGGGACTGGTTGAATGCCTCAGACAAGAGGAGACTTTCATAGTTGTTGTAAGGCAAATTCTATTTTTAAAATCAGTTTTGCAATTAAAATCAACAAATAAGTTTAAATAAAAAAATCCCTCACAATTTTAAAGATTTTCTGCTTTCTCATGTTCAGACAAAGGCTGATTTAAAAAAAAAAAAGATTTGTCTTGCATCAGACTGTGTCTCTCACTGGAAATTGTCAGTACAATGACTGCTTATATTGAAAGGCCAGGCACAGCATTAACCATGTGGAAATACTGTAATGAAATACTGGTAGATATTTCTAAAAAACTGTCCTAAAATTCCCATCTATTCTTCTATAGTAAACATTCAGCTAAGTTATAACTAGTCACTACTAATTTCTTCTAAGAATTTTATGTCCAAAATTGTTGCATTAGTGAGATAATGAAAAGGATCAAAGTGACTATATAAAGTATTGCGATTTACTGTCGTGTGTTCATAGTGCAAAATTAATATAATTGACTAAAATTGTTATAACAGCATTACAAGAGAAGAGGGTGGCAGAAGTGACACTGATGGAAGTGAGAAGGGAATGACAGTATCCAGGATTAGAATTGGTTTCATTAGTTCATGCATCCAAAAGAAATAGTGCTGGTCAGGTTGTTATGGAGGGTAGAAGTTAGGTCCTTTTCTCAGTTGGTTCTAAGTATTGCAATTCTGACTTTGTTGATGTTTTTGGATTCTAGATCCAGCTAGACACTGTCAGAAACAAATCTTGCCTTTTCTCTGTTTCACAGAATAAAGAAAACACCATGTTGAAAGATCTGCTGAAGGCAAATGCCGAGAAGGCAGTGAAACTGGAGGTATACAATATCAAAACGATGAAAGTGCGTGAAGTAGAAGTGATCCCTAGCAACATGTGGGGAGGGCAAGGACTTCTCGGAGCCAGTGTGAGGTTCTGCAGTTTCCAAGGAGCCAGTGAACATGTGTGGCATGTTTTGGTGAGCAAGAGAAACTTTGGTGTTCTCATGTGGTGTACTTTAGCTTAGTGAAAATTGTTACTAATGTGTTCTGTCATTTGTTCTTTGAGATGTGTTATTCATGTCCATTTTACTTTAGGTGTGCGCATGCCCAGTGCTCCATGGTAGACCAATACAGGTACCTAGGCACTTCCATTCTTAAGTGGAATGGATTGTGCACTCATACAGGGTGGGGAATCTCAGATCCAGAGGCCGGATACAGTCCTCGGCTTGCCTGGGTCTGGCCCCTGAGGCTCAAGACCCCCTAGCACTGGGGAGACTGTGTTGGTGCTCTAGCCCCCCTGCTACCTCCCTGGGGGCTGGAGCGTACAAAATCTACGCCTGCAAGGTTGGGCCCCCTAGGCTCTGGTGTGCAAGGGAAATGTGAGAAGTGTCTGTCTCCTTCTCAGTTGGGGGCTACAGTGAGGGTTTTTTTTTTCCACTTCTCACTTGAGTGCAGCCCCCGACTGATTTTTTTCTATGGGTCTGTGACACCCCCCCCACACACACACACTCAAAAAAGGTTCCCTACCCCTGCATTAGCATACAAACTTGGTACCTTAATGCCCAGTTCCCAAATGTTATTGATGTGTGAAATACCTCCTACGTATTTCTCTTTTTTGTGCGTATTTATTTTAAGCCTTAATAGGCTTATCTTAAGTATTTATGGATTCAGAGTAAAATCAGTTTTGAATTTGGCTGGTGGAGTTCTGTCTGGGAAAGTTAGAAGAGAAGGGAGTCTGGTTGGGAAAATCCAGATGGGGAAGCTAGAGCAGATAATGTTTAAACCAGAGTAGGAATTTTTTAGCTCAACTATTCTTCATCAAAAAAAGCTGATTTGTTGAAACTGGAACATGTCAGCTTTATTAATCTGTCACTAGGAAACTTCCTCAGATTCAGGATGGAATTTTTGGTTAAAACCACAGCAATAGAACTAGATGCACCCCAGAATAGACTGGTGGTCAGGGCACTCCCCTGGGATTGGGGAGAGACAGATTGTGCCTGATTCAGATCAGGATGTTGGTCTCCCATATCTCATGTGAGTGCCCTGACCACCATGCTACTGGTTATTCATTCTCTCTCTCTCTCTCTCTCTCTCTCTCTCTCACTCACTCACTCACACGTTCCCCATGGCCCCCATGGAAAAAAATTAGGTCTCTTTTTTGTCTTGATGCGAAAGTTTCATGGGGCAGGAAAACCATTCCCTGCAAGGAGGAGGGAGCTTTACTTGGGCACCAGGCAGCTTCAGCTCCAATTCACCCTTGTTCCTAGTGTCCTTTCTGTTTCCTCTGAGCCAGGGAGCTCTACCGGTCCTATTTATCCCCTGCCTTTGTGGAGAGTATTTTCTACTGGACTCCACCTGCCTGGGCTCCTGGACTCATAACTTTACTCTTGATTAAGGGATTCTACAGCCCTTTCGTGGGTCTGTGCTATGAAGCAAGCAGGCTTTGCCGCCCAGGCCATCAGAATCCAGAACCTTGCTCTATTATTTTTCACAAAGCATAGTTAACCTGTGGAGCTCATTGCCATGAGATGTTGTGATGGCGAAAATTATAACTGGGATTCAAAAAAGTACTAGACAATATTGTGGAGGACAGATCCATCAATGGCTACTAGTCAAGATGGTCTGACTCAGTACAGCAATTCTTATGGTCTGATTCCATGGAGCCTCCCTTGATCATGGACACACATACTTCTCCTTGGTTCTGGGGCTCCTCAGCCCTTCTTCCTAGGGCTGGGCTGTAATTCAGGCAGGTTTCCCTAGCCCACTAGTTGCCCCTGGTTCCCACTGCAAGGTACCTCTCTTCTGACTTGATACTCCCCTGTAATTCCCTCTCCAGTCCCTTTTCTCCTAGGAGTTATCTAACAGCTGGGTTTTATCCTTTTAAGGAGCTAGTTACCTGATTAACACCAGCTAGCCCCTGTACCATTGAATTCCTGTTTTCTTAAAGAGGTCACACCATGGAATACAGTGGCAACTGGTTTAAAATGTTAAGCAGTTAAACTATATGGTTAACCGTCCCACCATAGACTATTGTCCTGCCAAGACATGTGGCCAGCTCACCTTATGCTGGAACCCATTTTGGATGTTGTACTTGAAGTTTGAAAAGTTTAAACTGAACACGAAGGATCTGCCCTAGTCAAAAGAGATCTAAAAGTGGGAAGCCAAACAATAGGGGCTGCTGCCAGACGTCAGGACTCCCTTACTTACCACCCCAGTTGACTGCTGGAAATATCTAAGACCGACGGGGGAAGGATAAGGCCCAAGTTGGGAGGCTTTCCATCTTGTGAGGAAAAGATGATTAGAACGACTCTTAAAGTAAGTTTCTTTGAGAGTTAGGCATAGCTGGTGGGTGGTGTTTTATTTTGCTCAGTAACTTACTGTGGTCTGTCCTGCTATCACTTGAAACCACTTAAATGCATGGTCCTGCTGTGAGGGCAGGGGACTGGACTCGATGACCTCTCAAGGTCCCTTTTAGTCCTAGTGTTCTATGATATTCTACTTTTTATATTTAATAAAATCACTTTTTTATTAATAAACCCAGTGTCAATAATTTGTACCTGGGGGAGGGGGAACAGCTGAGCATCTCTCTATTTCATTGATAAAGGGGACAAACATTTTGAGCTTGCTCTGTATAAAACTGTATACAAAGCAAGACAGATATATCTGGGGTTCTGGTCCCATTGGGGCCAACCACCTGTGTGCTGTGTAAAGTCCCTTTGACAGGACCTTCCCAGAGCTGAGCCAATCTCAGTGTCTGTATTACTCCGCTGTGGGCTGTGACCCCATCTCTGTGCCATCACTGGAGGAGACTAGAGGGTCTGGCTCAGCAGGACATGATGGTGGGACATCCCAGAGGGCAAGTAAACAGGCTCTCCGGTATTTCTGCACATCAAGTGACAGTCTTAAGGGGATCTTGGTGACTGACCCGGTCATATTCCCAATACATGGAGCCTTTAAACATAGTTTTCCACTCATTTTTTGTATGCCAAAGCACTAATAATATTGAAGTCAACTAAGAGAAGAGTAAGAACTGTTCTAAGGATTTGCCTCAGCAAATATAATTTTTCAGTGACCAGTAAGAGGGGTTTCTTTTGAGCAAGGAAGCACAAATGTGAGCAGATATTAGCATCTTAGCCCAAGACCTTCTCTCTGGATGCTGAACATTTTTTCATGTTTGTCATTTTACTGCCATCTGAGTAGTTCCTGGCAAAGTAAATGCATTCCAGTTGGATTGGTCTCTTTAGCTTGGCTGACCTTCATTAAAATAACATGGAGATGGAAGGAAACAGAACAGCTTTACTTGTAAAGTAAATGTCAGTATTGGTGTAGGGTAGTGGTCTCCAGCCTTTTTAAGCATAAGGTCACTTTTTGAATGTAAGTGCAATCTAAGATCTACCTCAAACCCAAATACCCTTGCTTTGCCTCCTTTGCACTCCTTCTCTGAGGCCCTGCTCACTCCATCCTCCCTTCCTTCCCCATTCTCCCTCACTTTCCCTAGGCTGGGGAAGAGGGTCAGGGTGCAGACTCTGTTCTTGGATTAAGGGATTTGGCATGTGTGAGGGGCTCTGAGCTGATCTTGGGGCAGGCAGTTGGGGTGCCAGAGGGGGTTCTAGGTATAGGCTCTGGGAGGGTATTTGGATGCAGGGATGCTTGGAGCTAGGGCAGAAGCCTGGGGTGCAGGAGGGGGTTCACAGTTGGGGTAGGGGTTCAAGATGTGGGCTCCAGTGGACACTGCTTACCTCAGGTGGCTCCTGGGTGGTGGTGCAGTGGGGCTAAGTCAGGCTCACCCCTGCCCTGGCGCTGCACCCCTCCCAAAAGAAGCCAGCAAACTCCATCCCAAGTCCTGTTGTGCCCCTTCTCTGCTCTGTGGAGTTAGGATACAGGGTGGGAGGAGGGGCACCTTGACATCAGCACCCTTCTCTCCCTCCCCTGCACAGCAAGTAGGAGGCTCCTGAGGGGACAGCTCCAAGGCAGAGGGCGGGAGATGTGCAGCAGTCGGGGGAGGGACAGCTGAAGTGCCAGCACTTGATAGTCTCTTGGCCAAACCAGTCAGGATCACCTGTCAGAGACTCCAAGATCTACCAGTAGAAACCGATCGACTACTTGGTGACCACTGGTGTAAGGAGTAGGCCAAAAGAATCTAGGAAGGGTCACCTGCAAAAGCTAATTTCACCCTGTAATCTGAGACTTCTCTTGCTGAGATGTCTGAGGGCTAGAGAGAGATTGCACTTGGATTAAAACAAGGATTAGGTTGTGAACTGCTGAAATTTGTTTGGTTTTCCTTTATGAACTTTGAATACAAAGAACTGTACTTAAATGCAGTATCCCCAGACATTTTTCTAATCTCAACGTGAACCTTACATTTTTTCCTAAGTTAAATTTTTCACTCTTTAATTGTTGGACGGTTTATTCAACTGTAAATATGGGCGACCTGTATTGTTCTTTTATAGGATGTAGAACCTGCTTCCCCTGCAGCTTTAGCTGGTCTGCAGCCGCACACAGACTACATTGTTGGATCAGATCAGATCCTTCAGGAGGTAGAGCATATTTTTCCTTTCTTTGACTCTAACTATGGCAGTTCTTAGTCGATTAATGTTCACATTCCAAATATGCACAATCAGAAAGAAGCAGCAAAAGGGAGAGAAGAGGAGAGGATGCTTCAAAGCGGAAGTGCTGCCAGCAATTTACTACTCCAAAGGATTAACGATGACTAAGTGTGATCTCTCCCTTCATTGAGAACTGTTTATATATGTAAAGTGGGAGCTGGGGATAAAATAACCTGTTGTAAGAGCTAACACACTATCTATTTTTGATTAGTCAGAGGATTTCTTCTCACTGATTGAATCCCATGAGGGGAAGCCATTGAAGTTGATGGTCTATAACACGGAAACCGATTCCTGCCGAGAAGTATTAGTAACACCTAATGGAGCCTGGGGTGGAGAAGGAAGGTATTGATTTGTGATTAGTCTTTGCCTAATTATAAGGTCTATTTTGGAAAGTTCTTTGTAAAAGAACATCACCAGTTATTATAACTTTTCAATTGAGTCTTTTCTTCAACTTTTTCACATACAGTTTCTCTTCTCTGAGATTTTAAATAATGGAGAGCAGCTGTGGAGCATAAATTTGGCATACAGCAGCTCTAATCCTGCTCCCATTGAAGCCAATGATAACATTTCCATTGACTTCAGCAGTAGCAGAAGTGGACTTTTGGAATTAATTTGGAGTTTTTCCTGCTTTCAGTTCCTACATTGCAATGGTGGAGAAAATGAAGCTCTTGAGGTTTTTGGGTCACACAAGGCTAATGCTGAACTGCATCCTGGCATCAGTATTATTGCAGTGAGGTTGGGTCTACGTTGCATAAGTACATTGCTCAGGGGAGTGAAAAATCCACATCCCTCCGTGATGTAGTCAGTCCAACTTCAACTGCCCATGTAGACAGAGCTATGTCAGTTGGAGATCATCTCCTGCTGACATAGCTATTGTTTCTTATGGAGGTGGAGCTATTAAGCCAAGAAGAGAATTCTCTCCCACTGGCGCAAATGTGCTACGGCAGTGCAGCGACGCCTATGTAAATGTGTAGTGTAGATCTGGCCTTAGTCATGACTACAATTCCTACAATGCCATATTTCTTCCCATAGACTAAGGAATATAAATTTCTACTAAATTTCTTCTATTTAGCGATACCTAACTTGAAACACAGTCTGCTGTAACCTATCCAGTTCCCTTTACTTTGCAATTCTCATGCAGTTTAGGATGTGGCATTGGATATGGCTATTTGCACAGAATTCCAACACAGCCTGTTATACCAATGAAGAAGCAAGAAGAAATCAGATCACCTTCACCTTTGCCATCAGCAGACAGTTCCCCTGTGCCATCGACAAATGGTTACATAGAGGTACATAAGAAATGTGTTCTTATCTGTAGGCTGTTTCTTGGTTGTTATGACTCTCCCACAGACTAGGTTCCATGAGATAAGGACATGAGTAAAAGTGGACTTGGTGAAGGTCAAGCCAAATGAGAGGTGATCCTGCTAGAATGGGAAGACATAGTAACTGAGGATATTTCACTGAGCTGGACCTTTTGTCACTCAAAATTGCAAACTGAGATCCTCTTGGATTCACATGACTATCCAATAAGCATATGCTTATCGTCAGGGTTCGCCGAACCATGGCGAGCCCCGCTCACCAGCCGCGCTGTCCAGCGATCTGCACATGCGCAGATCGCCTGAACCCGGCTCTTCCGGTTTGCAGTCTACTCACCACGGGCGAGTAGATTGCATTATTTGTCGAGCCCTGCTTATCGGACAGTCGACTGGTGACTTGACTAGTTGCTCCCCTCCTCCCTCCCCTTTGCTTCCTCTATCAGAGAGGTGCAGGAAGGGGGGTGGAGCAGGAAGTGATGGGAGCCAGCTTAAAAGCCATCTCCGGGGGCAGGGCAGCAGGGAAACCGGCGGTGCTTCCACCTTTGAAATGTAGCAAGAGTGTGTGTAAACATCTGCAGATGTGTGTGCCTTTATTCCATCTAACAGAGGTGAATGTCCTGCATATGGGCCTCCTCTTGACCATTATGTCAGAAGAGTCGGCCCACTTACTTAGAAATGTTTCTTGTGTGGTATATATTATACCTGTTCTCCAGAGAATACACTTGCTTTTAGATGATTTCTGAATCATTTCCCAATCAAAGGTGCTGATTGCGATTATTTATTGCTCTTTATGGCTTTGGGTATGTTGGAAGCTCTCTCTTCCCTTTGTTTGTGACTCAGCATTTAGATCATCTGGGATGTTCAAGCTGCCCTTCTGAATTTTGTTTTTGTACCAGTAGGGTAGAGCAAATACAGTGATAGGCCTTTGGCAGGTTGACCAGAGATAGTACAAACAGGATACTTCTCTGTTATTTTAGGCTCCATTGTTGGCACCTAATTCCCAAAGGGACAGCTCTGACGAGGTTATGAACTTGGATGAATCCACAGATCAAGGAATGAATATTTATGCAATGGAAAATGCACGTCTCCCTCCTCCTCCTCCTGTCCAGAGAGTTATGGATCCAGGTGAGCACTTCAGTTATTCCTCTTCAGAATATACTGTTAAATTAATGAGTGCTATTTAATTCTTACTGCTCCTGTCCTCCAGTCCGCCATTTTTTAATTTCGGTTAAGAGTGACCCTTGATGTTCTCGTTTGAAATCTGGCAGAATTTTAACATGCAGATGTTGATTAGGGACCCAATCCAAAGCCCAATGAAATCAATGGGAGTTTCTACACTGACTTTGGAACAAGCCCTATATCAGAATGGTGCCTTCTTTCTAGGTGCTGTAATAGATGTAATGCTTGCAATTACTGGGAAGGGTAAAGAGGACAGGGCGGGGAAATCCACGGATTCTAAGAATCTGGGTGTCCTTTTTCCTGACAGTCTAGAGAGAGTTTCTTACTAAGTTTAAAAAAAAACCCCTGTACCTTTTGATTCTTCCTTCAGGTTTTTTACGTGCATCTGGTGTTTCATTTCCTGAAACTGCTGACTTAACAAAAATGCCTAACTTGTCTTCCTCTACCCTGTTCAACATGTCAGCTACAGACTCATTGTCAGGGACTGAAAGTTTAATACCCAACAATGGAATTACTACTTATTCTGGTAAGTTTGTTTAAAATTATTAGCTTTTTGGCTTGGAATTGGTTATTACGCAGGAGATTATGGGATTCATGACTGAACTACAGAGTCATGTTTTGTGGGGACATGTACATTATTCTTAGGAAAACCTCCTCCTTGCTGACAAATCATGCAGAAGGCACAGTTAATATCAGAGTTTGTTTAAATTTAAGATTTAAAAGGTAACCTAAATAGTAGCCAAGAATGAATGAGTTAGTTAAAGCCAATGGATTCCAAATTTGATAAGGTCAGTGTCATAAGATATTTTTTATTTTTGTTTTTTTTAATAGGAAAGATGGTTTGCTCTACTTTTAGAGTCTGGTAAACATAAGGATTCCCCTTCAAGTGCCTAAGTTCTTCTGATGCAAGAATTAACATATACCTCTTGTAAATCTTTGCTGCAAGGGGTATTTTCATGTAACTCAGTCCATCTTTTGCAGAGATGGAAAACTGTTGTTTTAGCAAGGTTGCTATCCATTTATAAGGACAGAAAATCTAACTAAAATATTCAAAAGTATTGCACTTTTTATTTTGAAGGAAAATTTCTTGGTAGAAAGACATGTTCCTTTTTTAAGAGGGGCAGGGAGCATTCAAAGAATAAATGCTGGATTTGAGCTAAAAAAACAAAATTAGGCCCTTATAGTGAGGCTAAAATGTTAAAGTAAACTAAAATATTTAATTTAGCATGTTTTTATAATTCTAAATCTTCTGAGGGTTTGAATTTTATAAGTAACAGCATTCACAGCTCATTTGTCCTTAATGGGAGTTTGAGGGAGCTCAGCATTTGAATGTGTAAGGCCATTTCTGAAGGGTGATGATAAAGGTTTAGCAAAATCCTTACATAATTCTTGTGTATGCTCTTAGTGCCCAGCAGTTCTAGTCATAGACCAGGAGCTCACTTGTATTGCTATGTGTTAGAATAGTTCATCAGTTGCATTGCTTCCAAGCTTGCGCTATAGAAATACAGCCACAAAATTGGACTCTACTGACAAGTTTTGGTTTGTTTAACTTAACCTCTTATTTTCTCAGAGCACGCCATGGCTTCAGTCCCTGCAGATCTAACCACATACGCAGAGAGCTTAGTAAAACAGCCCGAGTTGGACCACTTAATGCCTTCACTGTCCCCTTTACCAACTTTTGCTCTTCCTAACGATATTTCTTCAAAAGCAACACTAAGAACAGATTCTGATGCTCAAGAAACTGCACTACTTGAGGACTCGCCACCTGCTAACCCATTGAAACCTGGCAGTGATGAAAAGATAAATGAACTGAAAGAAGCTATACAAGACTAGCCCTCAAAAGAACACTTCCTTATATCATCAGTCTGCAGTCTGCCATATGCTGTCATGCTACATCTTGAATGTTGACTTTTTGATCTCAAAAGATAATTGCAGCTATTCTGTTTTGTTAGCATAGGCAATGCTGTAAAGAGTATATAGATCTCATGCACAGTACTTCTCCTCTTATCTCTCTGCAGCATTGTTTGATAGATGGAACTTTATTTAAATATTATTCAAACTCAGATTAGTCTATTGATCATGCATCTATTTGTCCTTTCAAAATTATCAATTTTTAAAAATTGAACCATTTGCTGGAGCCTGGGAAAACTCACTTTGTTTTTCCTCTATTAATAAGCGTTATTACAATTGTTTAAGTTCATCCAAATATATAGCATAGTTTTCATTACGTGAAGAATAAGCTACATTTTAATGGCAATTTCCCTGATCTTTTACAGCATTTAAGAAAAACGCTATTCTTAATTTTGACTTTGCTGAAAACATTTTTTACAGCTTAATACAATTTTTCTGAACACACACATCCTATTTTTAGATCATATAGTTCCAAAAGTAACTTTATCTTATCCAAATTTCTTAATGCACATGAAAGTTATGCAAACTTTATTTAACTTGGTTTGGAACCGATTAAGTGTTCCATTGCCTTTCATTTAGGGAATCAATGGGAGTGAATTTACTGGTTGCTATAAAGTTATTTTTTTTAAAAAAGATGAAGGAAAATACTGTACATTGGAAAGTGCAACATATTCTGGGTGATAAAGAACTGCTGCATTGGCTTTTAGTAGATTGTTCATTAGTTTGCATGGTGGTCTTTTACAAGGAACTTTTTTAAATGAAAAAGTTATAAGGGAAATGTGGTTGAGTTAAAAATTAACTAATTTGATTTCTGCTCAATGTTTCAGACTATGGTTTTATGATGAAGCACATGGGTTGAGTCTGGATTTTAAATGGTCAGGAGTGTTCTGTTAGAGGTAATGGGTTGACAGTGACTAGCCTTGGTATTTGCTTTTATTGATCTATTGTGTATTTTCCCATTTCTTAATTATTTTTTATAAGTATATAGATTTACAACCATAAAATACGACATGTTGAGTAATCTCTATTGCTTTTATAGATTTTCTTTGTTTTGTTTTCAAACACTTCCTGTACTTTTAAACACTTATTTTATGAATATTTGCTATTATTGTTCAGCCAGTTGTCATGCTACCAATATGGGCTCCTTCTCATTATTCAGGCGGTAACTTCCTTAATATTTTAAGTACAATGGAGTGGTTCCAGTCCTCCTCTTATGCAGGAATAACTTCACTGTGGTCATTTATGCTGATGTAAATCCCATAGAGGTGAAGAGAAAGATCTAGAACGTATATGTGAAGTCTAAAATGCATCCTAACTGGAAAACAATTTGTAGCAATGGAAAATGTTAACTCGCACTTTTTCACCTTCCTACATCAGATATTTAGGATGTCTTTGAGCCAGGCTGTCTTAGTCATAGGGTTTTGTCTATAGTCCTCACATGTAGTAATCATGATTTAGCAAAACATCATAAATGAAGCCACAACACTTGAAAGCAGATTCAGAGCTGGTGTAGGTTGTCATAGACACAGTGGAGCTATGATAACTCGAATCAGATGAGCATCCTCCGCAAAGCTCTTAGATCACAGTGCAATTTCTGATTTAAACTTTATTTTTACAGTACCTATGGTTTCTATATTAACAAGATGGCCAACCTATTTTTTACCCTTTCTAGTGAAGACTATATTAAGCATTAAGTACAGAGGATTTGCATTTAACCTATTTGCAGTTATAATTTGACATGCATTGTGTAATTGCTGAATTTGCTTCTCACTACATTATATAATCAGAATACTGTATTTGCAACATGAGAGCCCACTTGAGTGAATAATCAACATTTATAAAGTAAAGATCATAGAACTTAAGCTACTGGTTAATTTATTTTTCTTGTTCAGTCCTTTTGTTTCCAGGGCATGATGAAAGAACCTGCTATCTTGAGTAAAGGAAAATTTAGGTAGGCAAGTAAGTATTCTTCTCACTAGCAGGTGTGGAGTAGAGAGGGAGGGTTGCTTAAGCTAATGGAAGTTCAGTTAACTGAGTGGTGAGGAGTTAAGGTCCTTCAAACCTCCAGCTACTCCTTATGGTCTATCCCCAGACATCATACTCCTACTCCTAGTATCCTTTCACTCTCACCCCTAAGTCCCTTCTCCCACCATCTTAGTTCCTGTTTAGCTGTTGGGAGTTTTGATGGCCATCTGCAGCAGCAGGCCTCTTAAGTGTGGAGGCATGTGGGGCTCTGCACTGGAATTATACTTCAGGGAAACCTTGATCACCTGCTCCCGTAGCAATTAAATTAAGGACTTAACAGCAGTTCCTTCCAGATATTGAATGACATGGATAAGCAAACACCACACACATTCATGAGTATATTCCCCTACCTTGTTGGCTGGGCCAAAGAACAATGGAGTGTTTTAATGTTCTGGGTTTTTTTTAAGTTCATAGAAGCACTAACGGAGAATGGCTCTCATATGAATGCTAAAATAGAAGTATGATTCCTGACGTGGTTGGTGACTTAAATGTGCTATCATGCACATTTTAAGCAGTCTAAAATATTCCCTTATTTTCTCCTGTTTTTGTTAATGACTTTTTCATATTCTTATAAAAACTTTATAAATATCTAAGTTTCATGTCACTGATTTGTTCAAATGCCTTGTGTTGCTAAATTAGTATGGGTAACTCTTTCTGCATAGCAGTGTTTTAGGAGGATTTGTGAAATTAATCCAATCTAGGCAGACTGCAGCGAGCTGGGGCTACAGTTTTGATCATTTGCTTGGAATGCATTTTCAAATTCATAGTAATTCGTGGTGTGGTGTCTGTTTTAGAACTCATTATTAAGACAGAAAAAATTGGAATTCTGTTAAAGTATAGTTCTGTGTCCTAAGCCTGAAGAAGCAAAAGCCAGTGTTATTTAAAAAGGAGATGGGGAAGACATTCATGTGAATTTTGTCCAGTGTTAAGGTTGTCCAAATTTAAACTTCTGAAATATTATTCTGCTGCAATATCTTAGAATATGTAATTGTACAGTGCCAGTGCATGAGGACAAGGGGAGGGGAAAGGAAATCTAAGCTTAATAATCTTTGCTTGTAGAAGCAAAGACAAAGATCTGTGTCAGTGGAGGAAAGCATCTTCCTTCTTTCCTCACACCTACTCTATGTATTTAAATTGTAGACACTCAAATGAGTCTTCTGTTTTGTGCTGATGGCAGTGAGGTATATGTAAGGAAGTGAAACAGCGACTAGGTGAACTTGCGTCATGTAAAATGGTAACAACATTGTGTATTGAGTAGATCATGTACATCACATATTAGCTAGTAATACATAAGGGCTGTGTCTAGACTGGCAAGTTTTTCCGGAAAATCATCATCTTTTCCAGAAAAACAACCGCAATACAGAATCATGTGTGGACTAATCTTGTGAAGTGGGTTTTACTCACAAAAGCTCATGATACAATATATTTGTTAGTCTCTATAAGTGTCATAGGACTGCTCATTGTTTTTAAAGTTACAGACTAACACGGCTACCCCCGAGACAGCATATCTAGTGAACCAAAGAGGTTTTGTTTGCACTCCTTTCCCCAATGGTTATTTAAAGATCTTATTAACAACACTAAAACCGAGGCCAACACTTATAGTGCTTGGCTACGTCTACACTGGCATGAATTTCCAAAAATGCTTTTAACGGAAACGTTTTCCGTTAAAAGCATTTTTGGAAATTCATGCCAGTGTAGACGTAGCCAAGCACTATAAGTGTTGGCCTCGGTTTTAGTGTTGTTAATAAGATCTTTAAATAACCATTGGGGAAAGGAGTGCAAACAAAACCTCTTTGGTTCACTAGATATGCTGTCTCGGGGGTAGCCGTGTTAGTCTGTAACTTTAAAAACAATGAGCAGTCCTATGACACTTATAGAGACTAACAAATATATTGTATCATGAGCTTTTGTGAGTAAAACCCACTTCACAAGATTAGTCCACACATGATTCTGTATTGCGGTGACCTGGAAGCCAATTTTTGCCATCTCCGACTGAAGGAACATTTCCAACGCACCACTGATCCACAGTATCCCTGCTACCAACACTACAAGAAGAATTCTACATGGGCTCCTCCTGATGGTTGAAATGCCAGTCTGGACTTCTACGTTGATTGCGTCTGCAAACGTGCAAAGGCTGAGATTCTGAACAAACAACATCATGTGACGCAACCTCAGCCATGCAGAATGCAAAGATATTCACAGTCTCAAAAACAACTTCCACATTATAATCAAAGAGGCTGACAAAGGGGGTGCTGTAGTCATCTGACTATATCAGGTTACGAACAGGAGGCTGCCAGACAATTCATCAACACTGGTTTCTATAGGCTTCTTTCCTCTGATCCCACTGAGGAATACCAAAAGAAACTACACCATCTGCTCAAGAAATTCCCTGCTACAGCTTAGAACCAAATCTACACAAATACCCCTCCCCCCAGAGCCCTGACGAGGAGTATCCTATCTGCTTCCTGGAAATCCTGGATGTCCCATCATCTTAGGCATTGGCACCTTTTACATTCTGGCTATGTTGACTCCTCAGATACTATGCTACCAGCACTCCTAGCTATCTTCAAGATACCACTGACTTCCTGAGGAAAGTACAGAGCATCAATAATCTGCCTGAAAACACCATCCTGACCACCATGGATGTAGAAGCTCTTTACACCAATATCGCATATGAGAATGTATTACAGGCTGTCAGGAACACTATCCCCCATGATGCTACAGCACATCTGGTGGCTGAGCTATGTGACTTTGTCCTAACCCACAATTATTTCTGATTTGGGGACATTTTATACCTTTAAGTCAGTGGTACTGCTACGAATACCCACATGGCTTCATAATATGCCAACTTCTTTTTGCTGACCTTGAAAAACATTTCCTCAGTGCCCATCCCTGGCATTCATCCTCTACTTACACTGCATTGATGACATCTTCATCACATGGACCCATGGGAAGGAGACCCTTGAAGAATTCTGCAGATTTTAACAATGTCCACCCCCTCTGTCAACCAGTTCACACAAGAGATCCACTTCCTTAACACTACAGTACAAATAAATGATGGTCATATAACTCTCTCCCCCTCCCCCCCTCCACTCCACTCCTCTTTTCCCCAATACCATAAGCCTACTAATCACAACTCTTACCTACATGCCTCTAGCTTCCATCCAGGACACATTACACGATCTGTTGTCTACAGCCAAGCACTAAGATACAACTGGATCTGGTCCAATCCCACAGACAAAGACAAATACCTACAAAATCTTTCAGGCACTCTTAAAACTTAAATACCCCCCCGGGGGGAAAGAGGAAACAGATTGACAAGCCAGCTAAGTACCCAGAAGTCATCTACTTCAAGACAGGACCAACAAGGAAAATAACAGAATATCACTGGTCATCACCTACAGCCACCAGCTTAAACCCCTTCCGCGCATCATTGACAATCTAAAACTAATACTGGAAAATGACCACTCACTCTTACAGGCCTTGGAAAACAGGCCAGAACTTACTTACACACAGCCTCTCTTCCCCCTCGCCTCCCACTCCCCACCTGCTGCCTAACCTTAAGCAAATATTTACCAGTAGACGCACTAACCCAAAAATCTACTCCTGCAACAAACCCCATTGATGCTGTTCGGTTTTTTGAGTCTCTGATTTGGATACAGGACAAGCATAAGGAGGGTCTAAATCAGTGGTTCCCAACCTTTTCCAGATGGGGACCCATTTTGACAATTCAGAAAGACTTGATGAGCCAAGGCAATTAAAAATGGGGTGGAGGGAGGGAGGGAGGAAAGGGGGTAACAATTCTGTAACTAGCTAATTTTGTGCCTGAGGCAAGAATATAAAATTGTGCCCCCTCCTGTTTGTTTATTCATAGTAATTATTTTATAGAAAAACTGAAAATACATTAATAAAATAATAACACTATGTTTGAGTTGTGGTGGGGGGGAAGATGTCATCCCCAAACCGCTCACCCCCCCAGCTTAAACCCCCCACACAGAGGCTGGAGGAGTCACACTCAGGGTCTCCAGACCCAGAGGGCCTGAGAGTCACACTCAGGAGCTGGAGGGGCTGGGAGTCTGTCAGGGATCGGGGGGGAGAGGCACACTCAGGGACCTGAGAGGGATAGGTCAGTGGTTTGAGAATTAGCCTGATAAACCTAGGGGTGTGAGTTCAATCCTTGAGGAGGCCATTTAAGAATTTGGGGCAAAAATCTGTCAGGGATGGTACTTGGTCCTGCTGTGAAGGCAGGGGACTAGACTCAATGACCTTTTGAGGTCCCATCCAGTTCTAGAAGATAGGCAATCTCCATTCATTATAATTAAAAGAGAGCCATGCTCTGGGCCTGGGAGTCTCACACACAGGTGTTGCAAAAATATTAGAAACATAATACACATTCAAAAAAACAAGTAAAATTTAGTATCTTACCAAACAGTTTCACCTGAACTCAAATTAACAGGATGGTTGAGCTTGCATTTGCTTTACTAACTCACGTATCCTTGGAATTGTTGTGGCACCTCCCAGCACAGTCCCAGCCCATACCCCAGATCTCCATGGCTGCAAGCTGGCCAGGACTCTGCCTGGGCCTGCCAATGCCAGCCATGGGAGACCCAGGCGGAAACTTCTCAACAGACACCCAGACACCTGGCCCCCTACCCCCACCTACCTGAGCTGGGCGCTGCTTCTTCTCTGCGTTCCCTAGAGTTCTAACTTCTTTCCCTCCATGTCCAGGGATATTTCCTTACGCCAGTGGTCACCAACCAGCAGATGGAGATCTACTGGTAGATCTTGGAGCCTCTGACTGGTTCGGCTAAGAGGCTATCAAGTGCTGGTACTTCAGCTGCTCCTCCCCCCACTGTTGCACACCTCCTGCCATTTGCCTGGGAGCTTCCCTCCATCCCCTGGGAGCCTCCTGCCTGTGGTACAGAGCAGGGAAGGGAGAGGAGGGGTGATGATTTCAGTCTACCTCCACAGAACGGGAGAGGGGGACAACAGGGACTGGAATGGAAAGAGTTTGCTGGCTGCTTATGAGAGTGATGCAAGGCCAGGGTAGGGGCACCGAGAGAAGGGACACGATACTGAGAGTGGCCACTGGTGGCAGCTGCAGCACCAAGAAAGTGGCCAGGAGGGCTGGGGGTCTGCTATCTTGACTGCCTCCCGACCAGGTAAGTAACCCCCTGTCTGAAACCTGAAGCTTGCCTCCACCCTGCTGTGGAGAGCCTGCAGGTGGGGTGGGACCACTATAGTGGGGACAGCCCCCAGAGTCTGCCTCTCCTGTGAGAGCTAGCAGACTGCTGTGGGAGGGGGGGAAGGCCGGGGACATCCCTTGGAGCCTCATGCCCTCCTCCCCAACAGCCTGCAGGGATTAATAACAAGAATTTTAGTTATAAGCTGGGGACACATCAGTTGGAAGTAACAGAGGAGAAGGACCTTGGAGTCCTGGTTGATTATAGGATGACTATGAGCCGCCATTGTGACATGGCTGTGAAAAAGGCTAATATGGTCTTGGGATGTATTAGGCAAGGTATTTCCAGTAGGGATAAGGAGGTGTTAGTGCCATTATACAAGGCATTGGTGAGACCTCATTTGGAATACTGTGTGCAGTTCTGGTCTCCCATGTTTAAGAAGGATGAATTCAAACTGGAACAGGTACAAAGAAGGGCTACTAGGATGATCCGAGGAATGGAAAACCTGTCTTATGAAAGGAGACTCAAGGAGCTTGGCTTGTTTACCTTAACCAAAAGAAGGTTGAGGGGGGACATGATTACGCTCTTTATTCCTCATAGAATGAGGTTTACCACCATCGACAAAACTGCCGACTTCTGTCGACATTATTTCGACAGAAATTGTCAGTAGTGTAGACGCAGGCATAGTTTTGTGGACATGATTGCACTTTTTAAATATATTAGAGGGATAAATACCAGGGAGGGAGAGGAATTATTTAAGTTTAATACCAATGTGGACACAAGAACAAATGGATATAAGCTGGCTAGTAGGAAGTTTAGACTTGAGATTAGACGAAGGTTTCTAACCATTAGAGGAGTGAGGTTCTGGAACGGCCTTCCACGGGAAGTAGTGGGGGCAAAAAGTTTATGAAGGGGATGGTTTGATGAGATAACATGATCTTGGTAACTAATTGACCATTCATTATCAGTGGGAAATAGGTCAATGGAGGGATGATAGGAGTTACTATAGAGAACTTTCTGGGTGTCTGGCTGATGAGTCTTGCCCACATGCTCAGGGTTTAGCTGATCACCATATTTAGGGTTGGGAAGGAATTTTCCTCCAGGGTAGATTGGCAGAAGCCCTGGAGGTTTTTCGCCTTCCTCTGTAGCATGGGGTACAGATCACAGCTGGAGAATTCTCTGCATCTTGGGGTCTTCAAAGTATTTGAAGGCTTCAATATCTGAGATATAGGTGAGAGGATTATTCTAGGAGGGGGTAGGTGAGATTCTGTGGCCTGCACGGTGCAGGGGGTCAGACTAGATGATCATAATGGTCCCTTCTGACCTTAAAGTCTATGAGGTAGAGGGTATCCACTGGAGAAGGGGGCAGCCTCTAGAACCTGACCTTCCCAGATAGTCTGTGGACCATGGGGGCAGGGCAGCTGAGGGGGTCAGCTCCCCTGGAGCCTGCCCCCCCCCCAGCAACTTTCAGGCCATGTGTGTGGGAGGTACTGGAGGAAGGAAGGAACTGCCCCCAGAGCCTAGCCCCTCCTTAGACAGCCTGTAGGCTATGCCACTGGAAGCTGGTGGCAGCCCCCAGAGCATCTCCCCAAAAAGGCTGTAGGATGGGGGGTACACTGGAGGCTGATAGTAGCCCCCCCAGACTGCTGCCCTCAAGACCAACTACAGAGCTGGGGGGGGAGGGGGAAGAGAAGTTACTCATTTTGTGCAGTAATGATTGTTCTTCAAGATGCGTGTCCCCGTCGGTGCTTCACAGTTGTCGGGCTTGTCCCGGCACCACAGATCAGAGATTTTGAGAGCAGTGATTGGGCATGCTCCCGCCTTTGAAATAGCACATGCAGCCGGCTTCTCCTCCTGTTTCTTCTTTGACACCCTCATGGACTGCTATTATTGCCTGAAGTGAGGAGGAAGATAGGTAGTGGAGCACCCATGGGGCCTTGATTTCTGCACCCCCACGTCTGCAGGTGGTGATAAAAGTAGGGGGTCATCTTGGATATAAAAAGATTGTACTGAGACAACTTTGTTTGTGTACATGTAGCCACTCCATTGACCTGTTCCCCCTCAGTTGATCACTGGGGTTTGGCATTCTGTTATGATGCCGCAACAGACCTGGTACTTGGATTTGAATTTGGAGTTAGTGGTGGTTTTGTCTGCTACAGCGAGCTGTGGTGGTTTGCTTTTCTAAGCCTTCCTCCCTTGTAGTCTCAATTCTCCTACTACTCACCAAATAAAAAGTAACGTGCCATGGATGCAAGTCTGACTATCTTCAATGTTGCCACTGATCCTTAAAGACTTTCCAGCTTTGCTTTTGTCTTAGAATCATAGAATACTAGAACTGGAAGGGACCTCGAGAGAGCATCACGTCGATGCCCCTACCCTTATGGCAGGACCAAGCACAGCCTATATCATACCGGATAGATGTCTATCTAACCTGCTCTTAAATATCCCCAGTGATGGAGATTCCACAACCTCCCTAGGCAATTTATTCCAGTGTTTTAACTACTTTAACAATTAAGAAGTTTTTCCTAATGTCCAACCTAAACCTCTCTTGCTGCATTTTAAGCCCACTGCTTCTTGTCCTATCAGAGGCCAAGGAGAACAAATGTTCTCCCTGCTCCTTGTAACATTCTTTTAGATACTTGAAAACTGCCATCATCTCCCCTCTTTTCTGAACTAAACCAGCCCAATTCTTTTAGTCTTCTCTCATAGGTCATATTTTTAGACCTTTAAATCATTTTTGTTCCTGTTCTCTGGATCTTCTCCAATTTGTCCGCAAATTTCCTGAAATATTGTGTCCAGTTTTGGGCACCACATTTCAGCTGAGGCCTAATCAGTGCAGAGTAGAGCGGAAGAATGACTTTTCGTGTCTTGCTCACAACACTCCTGATAATGCATCCCAAAATCACGTTTGCTTTTTTTTTTTCCAGCCAACCAAGGCACTCTGCCACATCTGCTGTCATTCCTTCTGTCAGTTTCATAGTGGAGACTGATTCACGAGGTTAAGGTCTTTCTTTAAAAATAAACCTGCCTGTGATAAATGTTGTGGAAATGTTAAGTTTTTAATGACAAACAAGAAGAGGCTTTTGTCCCTGGGATGGAACATGCCTCTGTGTTCACATGCTATTGTAATAATCTTAGTATAAGCTATTTCTAGTGAGATGAGATTTGAAAACTCACATGGTGGTTGGTCATTCAGTATTGTCCTGTTAAAATGTGTGTGGCAATAGTGTGTGGGAAATGAAGATTCCTCTGTATGGTAACATTCTAACTAACAGCCCTGCTTGAGCAGACATTGGCAAACAGGTTTGTGCTAAACAATTGCATTTAAGCAGTAAAGAGTCATCAAGCATGTGTAGATGTACCCTTTCGTTATTTAGATTTTGAAATTGTTATTGCTTGAAAATCAAGAGTGGAATACATATGGACAATTACTTGAAGAAAGAACAATTACTTAACTACAGTTACTGTAAAGTCTAAGATGTTATCCATATATATTCTGACCCATGCTCTTTTCCCACTTGTACAGAGTCTGACAGCACCTGAGTTCTGTATTAGCAAAGGTACTGTGGGAGAGTTGGCCTCACTCTGCCCTTTATGATTTCAGGGACATGAGGGCACTCAGGGCTCAGTCCTAGTCAAAACAATTCTAGTCAAAAGATTGTGAATTTAAGTATGTTGGGCACCAAGAGTGGAATATAGTTAGCACATCTTGATGCACAGTTGCTGTAAGGTGAGTAGGAGTTTTTCTAATCAAGACAAGCAGCAACTCTAGCCATTGCTTACATGGAAAAGGTGAAGACTTTAGTGTATTTTTAGATGTCTTCAAGAAATTTAGGAGCTGAAAATGGGAATACTTGATCAGGCAGGCCTGGTGGCTCACCAGAGATACAAAGAACTGATTTTGGGAATATCTGGCTAGGAAATGAAAACAAACCATTTGTTTTTAAACTCTGTTTGTGAAAATGGGTAGTAACAGCTACGCCTCATATTTTAATGAAGATAAACACTTGTGATTAATTACAATACTGTACCACCCTCCATCAGTGTCTATATTAGCAGGTGACCTTGTTTGTAAACTTATCCTAGAATAAAGAAGAAGTTTAAACTCAGCGCTGCTGCCTTTTCCCATTGTACAAATGTCTCAAAGGTAAAGGGCTACTTGACTACAAAGAAAGGACAATGTCTTTGGAGGAACCAGAGCTCTGCTCCCAGTGTCAGTAATCCTGGGTTGAGCCACAAGCTGACAATTCTTTTCCATTTTCCCCCCGCTTATGTGCCCCTTATTTTGTTTTTTTGTTGCAAACATTATCCTGAGAGCAAATATTTTGTTCTTAGTCATTCAACCATGTTATGCTGTATTACAAAATCTGAATAAATTAATATGTGCATTTCACTGTGGCATTGCAATTATGTTTAAGCTAGTGGGAATCTGACTGAGCAACTTTAAAAATTAGAAAATATTTCACCTTTGGAAAAGGGTGAAAAAAAACACCTCAGGGTTGCACAAGTGAACCAATGAATGATCAAAACAACTTCTAAATATTTTAAGTAAAGCCTTTTATTCTATATAACTGTGAAATACAGATCATTTACCCTTTTGGCATTGCAGACTCCCTCAATCTTTCCTGAAACTGCATTATTGGGATGGTTAGAAGAGTAACCTTGGCTGTTTTCAGACAAAAAAACCTGAATTAACAAGCTGGGAGCAGTTACAATGTATACAAAGGGACAGCAAGACAACCAGAAAGAATCACTGTCTATTAGAACAAAGCATAGACCTCTGCTATTAATAAATACAATTCAGGACAATTTATTAATAAAAGTTACAGTTCGGCTAAACCATTTAATTCACAAATATCACTAAAAATGTGCAATATAGCACAATTGTGTCAAATGGAGTATGCACAGAAATGGGGCTTAAATTAAATTTAACTTTCAAGTAAGGGAAAAAGACATGCTAGCTTAATTCTTAACCATACCCTCTTGTTTAAAGGTTGTAATGTATTTGGATATTTTTCAAACATATGACAGTGAATATTTTTTTCAGTTTGATCAATATAAAATTCCAATAATGTACCTGGGATTTTCTATAGGCTCCATCCTGAATCTTGACAGCAAAACATAGGAAGGGCAAGAGCACGTCTCTTGAAGAAATCTGAATAAATATACTGCCCTCTGAAGGCACTTGTGCTTCTGTTTCAGACAATTTATGTGTTACACAATTTTGTGGTGAGGATTTCTAATTTGTTTTACAGTTACAAATAGTCTTGGGACAGTCCTAAATTTTTGTTCCAAAAGCTGAAGTGTTTCCTCCCCACACTGAGAATGTTAAACTTTCAACAAGGTTGTTATGAATATATGAAAGCCTTACATTTTTAGGAAGAATGGGAAAAGAAGATGTGTACACCTGTAAGAGAATTTGCATATAAAACTTGGGAAAATAATACAAATACTTTTATATCATGGATATGAAATTTGCTGAGAAGCTTCTGTAGTCTGACATCCCCAAATAAACTTAATTTTCATAATGGTCTTAAGTTTTAACAAAATGCACATAAGAAGAGAGTACAGATTTCTGGAATTCCAACTAGCGTGTCTTTAAAACAAGAACACAGTGCAGGAAGAACTATATTTAAAAAAAAAAATCTATTAAATTTTGCAAAACATGTTTATTCTATTATGATGCACAGCATCACTGGACTAGCCCTGTAATAATATTTCTCTAGTGTTCTTAATCTGAATGTCAATAACTCTCTAAGAATGTTTGAAATGCAGTAGTAAAAAAATTCTAATTATGTTAACATTTGACTTACAATTAAATGGGCTACTACTTTCAAGTGTGTAACAAAGAAATCTCAAACACCAAAAGCTAATGGGTATAAATTATTTTTATGAATGACTTGTGAAAAATCATTGCAGGTAATAGATGAATGGAATGTATTAAAAATATAGTGTGTGCAGTTCTGAATTACATTATGAACACAGTGACTAATATGGCCAAAACAGTGTATCATACCAAGCATGAGCAGATGAAGATTTAATGCTTTGGAAAAAAACCCCAAGAAGGAAGCAAAAGTCTGCACTGGATTACCATTTGTTCTCTGTACATCTCACATAACATGAACCACTAGGGACTTCTCATTTTACTTGTTCTGTCTTGACTAGGACAGATTTTAGTTTAAGTCATATAGATTTTTTTCTCTATATTACAGATCTATTAGTCATTTCAATTATTAAATGCATACACTCCGTCCAGACTGAGTCATTAGAAGTCTCATCTACCATAGGGTTCAGTGGGCTTCTATAGCACTACTCTTGGAACCAGTACAGTAAGGTCAAGTAAATGAACAACCATTTGAGTCCATCATATCCTTTCACGTTGATTTCTGTCGGTAGTGAAGTGTCAGATCACCACCGCTTTTCCAAATGAAGTGCTTAACAGTTCGAAGGTCCATATTTGGATCCAAAACCTGCAATGTAATAAGATTTATATTTTATTGAAAGATATTGGAATATTTTTTAAATCTTTTGAACCTGGAAGTTTTGATTTTCTTACATGCTTATTCTAACCTGAGAGTGGGACAACAGCTTATTGAGAACTGGTGCCAGTATTTTCGAGAGCACCAGCAAAGGAGTATATAAGTGTACATGATTTTGTCAGTAAACATCAAAATGTATGAGAGGGGCAAATCTGCTCCTTGAGTCCCACCTTCATTTCTGTAAAATGTATTGGAATACTAGTGTTGATGGAGATGGAGCACTGTTTAGGTGGCTTTAACTTTTGGAATCTCTACATCTACTGACATTAGTTGTCTTTCCCCCCCATAATTTTACGATTATTACACAACTTTCTCTTGAAAGTTTGAAACCTGCTTCCAAAGTAGCATTGCCTCTTGCTGTGCTATTGTATATTGCCACTCAATAACTTTACTGCTAAACATAACAAGCCATATAAGTATATATCTGAATTTGGAAGATTTTGAACATGACCAGAAATGTAACAATATTCTAAACCCCATTGTTTATTTATATAATTAATCTTAATGGTGTTACACAGAAGTATGTTTTATTGCATATGAGCATTCTGGTTGCTATTGAATTCCTAAGACACAAAATAGATGAAAATGAAAAATTATTTTAAGAACTAATTTGTGCCTAGTTTGGTTTTACAGCTTTCTAAATAATTTGTAACCAACAAACACGAGAAGCTTAAGGCCCTCCTCAGTGGAACTCTTCTTTAAAATCTGTGATCTCTGAGAAAAAACAGAGTATAGTTGGATCTCCCTTGTCTGGCACCCTCGGAACCTGACCCATCCTGAATGAGGGAATGTGTTAGATATGGGGAGGTCCCCTGCTACTGGCCTCCCAGGATGCTTTCCTCCCTGTGGCTGGCTCCGCTCCAGCTCCCCTGCCACTGGGCTCCAGCCTGCAGGGCATTAGGGCTTCCCAGGGATGGAGCTCCCCAGCCACTGTGGCCCCGCTTCTCCCCTGCCCAACCAGGAATCCCTGAGGACGGGGCTTGCCAGCTGTCCTGCTTTCGCCACACTCCGCTGGGGATGGAGCTTGCCGGATGCCCCACTTCTGCAGTGCTTCACTGGGGAGCCCTGGGGACAGGACTTGCTGGCTGCCCTGCCTGGCCAGGGATCCCCAGGGACATGGTTCCCAGCTAGTTCGCACTCCCGGGTGCAAGAGCTCTCTGATCCAGCAACATTGCCGGACCAGAGAGTCCCAGATTTCAGAGGTTAAACCTGTGCTTTCATTTGTGTTTACTATTCATATCAATATAGCCAGGATACGGTTAATATGAGTAGTAGCAGGAATAAGTTTGGAGTATTAGGCCCCAAAAGAGAATACAATTCAACCACCAAAATTCTGTGATCCAGAAATCTGATAATGTAAATGCACCCATGCTCTATATGCAACACACAAAATAGTACTATCAGTTAACATTTGAGTTCATAATATAAAATCTATTTTCAAAGACATCTGTTCCAAAGTAGCTCACCTGTAGCACATTTTACGAACAGCATCTAGAGGTTCACAAATTATTTATTACTGACCGTCAAATTTTTGCAAGAAGGCCTAAATAGGTGCTTATGTCAACTTACCTGGTCCTGGCACAAGAGTTCAATTTTTTCTTCTGCTAACACAGCAATATCCTCCTCTTTTTCTTGTTCTCCAGTTTTTTCATTATTGGAGGAGCTAGTTGTCTGAGATTCATTATCCAGGTTTATGATTTTCTCATAAACGTGCTCCATCACTTTTCTGACCTGCAGCATGTCACTAGCGGACAATCTGTCTCTGTACAAGCAAGATAAATTAAAGTTGTGAAACACCAGATTTAGCCTTTTAAACACTTATCTTCATAGTATCATATACGAAAGAGTTTTCTGTAGGAGTTGTCTGTATTATAAAATAAGATCTTTAAAATAACGCTCTTATATAAATCAATGGAGAAGACTCATCTGGAATTGGAGTGCAGTTCTGAGCACCTATCTGAAAAGAATGTTGCACAACTACAGAATTTTCACAGAAGAGCAACAGGAATTATTAAAAGCATAGCAAAACTCAGATGAAGCCAAACTGAAAAGACTGGGAACATTTACCTTAAAAAGGAACTGAATAATAGGGGAGATGTTAAACATATAAAATAATGACTTGTAAACAGAAAGTAGGTCAGGAACTTCTGTTCTCCCTGTCTCATAACAGAAGGGACATTGAATAAAATTCAAAAGGAGGGAAATTCAACCTGACAAAAGGAAATACTTTTTTTTTTTTTTTAAAGGAAACACATGATTACAGTGTGGAACTTACTGCCACAGGAAGCCATTGAGGCCAAGAACTTATCCAGATTCACAGAATACCATAACTGGAAGGATCCTCAAGAAGTCATCAAGTCCAGTCCTCTATGCTCACGGTAAGCCCAAACAGAATCTAGATCATCCCTGACAGATGTTTATCTAACCTGCTCTTAAATATCTACAATAGAGATTCCACAACTACCGTAGGCAATTTATTCCAGTGTTTAACCACCCTGATATAGTGAGGAATTTTTTCCTAATGTCTAACCTAAATCTGCCTTGCTACAATTTAAGACAAGGAGAACAATTTTTCTCCCTACTTCTTGTGACACACTTTTAGATACTTGAAAACTGCTATCATGTCCCCTTTCAGTCTTCTCCTTTCTAAACTAAAGAAGCCCAATTCCTTCAGCCTTGCCTCATAAGTTCATGTTTTCTAGACCTTTAAATCATTTTGGTTACTCTCCTCTGGACTGTCTCCAATTTCTCCACATCTTTCTTGAAATGTGGTGCCCAGAACTGGACACTACTCCAACTGGGGCTTATTCAACACAGAGTTAAGTGGAAGAATGACTTCTTGTGTCTTGCTCAAAATTCTCCTGTAAACGCATCCCAGAGTCAGGTTTGCTTTTTTTGCAACAGCGTCACACTGTTGACTCATATTTAGCTTGTGGTCCACTGTGACCCCTTTCTGTAGTACTCCCTCCTAGACAGTCACTTCCCATTCTGTATGTGTGAAATGTTCTATTCCTTCCTAAGTGGAGTACTTTGCATTTGTCCTTATTAAACTTCATCCTATTTACCTCAGACCATTTCTGTAGTTTGTCCAGATCATTTTGAATTTTGACGCCCTCCTCCAAAACACTTCCAACCACTCCCAGCTTGGTATCATCTGAAAACTTTTTTATGACTGAAAAAATATATTTTTGTATTAATCTGGCAATTTTTTTAAAAAATAGGGCCAAACAGCCTCCTTTTTAAATCCCTTTGAAGCTCCCCTACGGGAAGAAGACTCAGCAAGGTTCCCTTCATGGAATTTCTCCAAACTGTTCAAGGGGAAGGCATTTTCCTAATGTGCAAAATTAGCAGGATTTTCTTCCTCCAGATCCTGTGATTCCACCTAAGGTATGTGGTCATCCTTTATCTTCAGATTTTGCTTTCATTCCATTATCCATTCCCTAATCCTTTTCCTAATTGAACCTTCCTTTTCACCTCTTGAGAATGGGGCTCTTATTTAGAGAAGACCCATAGACAAGTTAATGTAATATCAGATTAGAGATGTTAAATTGTGGTTAGTCAGCCAATCAAGTAGTGAACGAAATTTCCATCGACTACTCGATTAATTGATGGGGAGGGGGTGAGTGCTAGGCCCGCTGCAGCTCTAATGTAGTAGGAGCTGAGCCTGGCACCTACCACATCCAAACTACAGAGCTGCAGCAGGGCCAGCCCCTGGGGGTGGCACGAGCCAGGACTAACAGTTTGGTAAACAATACCATTTACAACTACAATATCTCACAGATCTTAAAAATATGTTTATATCATTCAGTATGGTGGGAAATTGTCCTGTAACACTAGAGATACCTTCTGCCCCAAGAGACAGCATTCTTCTAATCCTCCTAATCTCTGAAATATTAATAGTCAAAAATATATACGTACTTTTTTAACGTTTTTGCCCCTGAAGATGAATGAGGTTGAAGGTAAAAGGGAATCTTATTGAATTTGGGCATATTTTTCTAAAAAGAAACAAAGTGTTAAATTCAGTACAAATTGGCATCATACAGGTTACATTTACTTCATTATTTCCATTTGGAAAGTGTGTTATCTAATATGTATATTATTGTATCAAATAAACATGAGATTTCCTCTAACACAACCAGGGAGGCTTGGTTAGCTTCTGAGGAGCTCAGATCTATCTCATGCATGTCTTTTGTTTGCCTAGCTTTTATGTAAGTTGGAGTTCATTTCAGCAAAAGCAGAAAGATGTCAAAAGTATACAGGACTTCTATACAATAAAAAGTTAAAATTCTAAATATTTTGTTTAAAAAACTAAGTTTTAAAGAAGAAAGTCTCTGAATCTAGAAGAAAGCACCAGAAATCAGGTTTCTTGGAAGGTGATTTGTTAAAGAATGGAATACTTATTTCAATATGCCAGCATGCGTCAACCCTGCAGACAGTACGTCAGTCATTTCCCATCAACCAGCAGACCCCAATGAAGTTGGCTCGTCTGAGAAGAAGCCAGGGTAGAACTTAAGAAAGAGGTCTTCATAGGCCCAAGTTTAAAGCCTGACCCAGACCCAGACAGCATTGAGTCATTTTCTGAACTGATGCAATATGAATCCAACACTACCCCCTGCAACCTGTCAGCGTCATCACCATCACCTTGAAGCTGTGACTTGTCAGCATAGTCACTTCACAACACAGTGGGAGCAGCCAACAGGAGTGGGGCACTCAGCTGCTGCCACGACAAGGCCACAAGCAGAAAGTAGCTGGAGACAGAAGACAGACACGGGGAGTGGGAAGCCCCCAGTAGGCCAAGCCCCATGTGACAATGCTACCATAGATTTGGTAGTGGAAAGTGTTGGGTTGGGTTTGGGTTGTTTCTGAAAATGACAACTTGAGACTCCTCTGCTGGACTTGGATACATGTCAGGCTTTAAAATTAGATTGAAGGAGACCACCTCTCTGGTGGTTGATGGAATATAAGAACTATATAGACTGGGAAATAGGATTTACAATGGGCAGTGCCAGTGACCTTCAATGAGGCTCAATTTCTACGGGTGCATGCAAAGGTTTTTTGAGTGAATAATGCCTTGAATACCCATTTAGGTATGGTTACAAGAGATATTCAATAGACATTACTTGAGATGCTGAAGTCAGGTTCACCTATAAAAAGACGGGCTAAGTCTATAATGAATGACACTTACATCCACAGTGATGTCAATTACCCATTGTGGCACCGTTTCATTAAGCAGCATAGATTCAGTTTCACCACCCGAATCCCGGCATAATAATCTAAAATATATAGAAATGAGTTTAATAAATGATCCATTTAAGCACTGAACAGAAAATTGCTGTACAGCACAAATGACAAAACCCAAATGCAAAGATTAAAGAAAGTGTGCACAAACACAGTAAAATAATAAATCCGCTAATCAGATCAAAGAATAACAATTCCAGAACCACCAGTTAAGCAAGATTACTGTTTTAGGAATCCTGTGTAAATGAATTTTAAATTAAAAACAAACTGCTTTCAAATTATAAGTAGATACAGTCTAGCAATTCTGAGCCCCAATCCTTCAAGTCTAATGTGTGTGTGAGGGTGGACCTTCGCCCTTGTGTAGAGTCCCCACTGATGTAATGCAACTTTCTGTGGACATTCACATCTACCAGTGCAGATCAAATTGATGGGTTGGGACCCTTAGTTACAATTCAAAAGCATTAAGAGCTGTGGGAATAGGGATCATTGTAAATTGAAAATGTATCCTCATTTTACTTGAATGACTTGTGATCTGAAAGTTACACTGCTTCCAGGCTTGGGATGTGCCATACAGGTAGCCCCCAAGTTACAAACACATCAATTTACGACTGTTTGTCCTTACGACCAACCTCGCATTAAGCGTGGCCCCGAGTTATAAATGCGATCCGCGCTTACAAACAGCGCGGTCACATTGAAATGAATGGGGTCCGACTTACGAACAGATTGAGTTACAACCAAGGGACTATCTGTTTTCAGCTCTGAAAAACTAGGAAACCGAGACTGAAAATCAGTGTTAATTTAAGTCTGGATGTATTCAGTTACCAAGGATAAACATGAATGCTTTATGGTATCCAAAGGCCTGGTCTCTCAGGAGTGTTCATCCCCATAATATTCACATTATATTATCTATTAAAGTCATTTTGGAATCCAAGTGGAGTAAAAGGCAAGATGAATAGTAATCAGAGTGGCATAATAAGATTTCATATTACTTGACTGGTCAGAGCTAAAAGCACTCTGATAAGCCACCAAATTTAGGAGAAGTTCCCCAGACCAGTGACCAAAAAAGGAGAAAAAATCTAATCCCTGCAGACTAATACTGCAGCACCATAACAGAAAGCAATTACACATCAAGTATTGCTTTAACTTATGGGGTACATTAAGTAGCTTTAGGAAGAAACTGGATCATCTTTTGATGGCTGTTGATTGGTCTATTGACAGGAAGGATGGTGTACAGAAAGTGCCCTCAGAGCTATAAAATCAGCAAGTCCTTGTAAGAGTTACCATACAATTCATGATCTTGAAATGAACCATGTTTAGATTATTTGGAATCTACATGTTCCTAGCCTAACTATGGAATGATGTTACCAGCCACAAACCAATTTGTGTCATCAAATATATTCCCTGGACAATTATTAACTTCTGAAATTGTCCAAGAGACAAAAAAAAGAAAATAATTCCATTGCTTTACTCTCACTGCATTCTCTTAATTTCTGTACCTGAACAAAGTGCGTCCTCCAGCTTCACCAAAGATAACTGGTGTATGTGGTGGCACCTGAAAGTATCCATTTCCTTTCTGTACTCTGTTCTCCTGCTCACCATTCACTATGGAAAAATATACATCAAGGCTATATAGCTAGTTTTAGAGCCAAGCATACAGATTAACACACATTGTCTCTTTCCAATACAGTTGGTGAATTTTAAAAAGTAAACAAAACACATGCAAAGATGAAGCAGCATTGATTCCTTGTCATCCAGAATTTCTAACACTTAAATATTTCATGAGAAACACCAAAGAATAATTAACTCGTAAGTTTGTAGACGGCAACTCTCAATGTATGATATACAAGAGTATATGGGCTATGAGTGGGACACTGATTTACTATCACTTTTCCCCAGTTTGAGTAATATAGAGGTGTAAGTTTCTGGGGAATTGAATGAGCCTTACTTTAGAGATGAACAAGATAAAAGAATCATTCTGCTAAGACAATTATACCACTCTGAAAGCCCTGAATACCACAAAAGCAACATCTTAAGCATCTTCTTTGCTTTCCCACCTAACTACCAACTCTGAAACAAAGGACCAGCAGAACTTGACAGAGACATCTGGATTTCATGGCATTGTGCATTCCATTAATTATTTCTCAAGTTGATGTCTACGGATTATACAACTAAAAGTGTTCGATGGCATTTCAAATGCAGAAGGTCAGATTAAAAAAAGTAGTGTGGGCGATTTACTTGTTACAGACGGGCTACGTCTTTCAAAATGAAATGCTTTGATAAATAATTATTTTGAAGTGCAAAGTAAAGTTCTCTGAAAAATGTGAACAAAAACTGTTTGAGTGCAATGCCTTCCAATCAGAAAAGAAACCCAGACTTGCTATGTGGTATCTGTAATTCACCAATTACTAAATTTTCATGTTATGTTGTGCCAGTGGTCCCCAACCTTTAGAGGCTCCCGGGCGCCCGGGCCACTCACGCGCCAGGCGCCCGGGGGGCGGGGCTGCACGTCCTGGGGCACGCCAGGGTGGGGATGCCCTTGCACCTGGCGCCAGCATGTGCCCCAGGGCCGGGGCCGCCCGAGTGCCTTGTGCCGTGGGCCGGCGCCACCGCCCGAGCCTGGGGCCGGCACCGGCGCCGCGTGCCCGCACGTGCCCCGGGGCTGGGGCCACCCAAGCACCGCGCACCAGGTGCCGGTGTGTGCCGCGCGCCTGGGGCCGGCGCCTCCAGTGCGCCGTGCGCTGGGGGTGGGGCCGGCCCAGGTTGTTGGCGGGCGCACACTGCGTTGGGGACCACTGTACCATTTACATCAACAACGCACCTTGAAAATTGAACAACATGGGTTCCTGTGGGGAATAGGAGGTTCCAAAAAGACTGTTTAGTTCATATATCAGCTGAGCATAAAGTAAATGAAGGATCAGAATTCATAGCCAAGAGAAGCCTAGAGAAGGACAAGGATAAGACTAGTGTATAGTCCCACACCCAGAGTTTATCAGAAACAAAATAAAATCATTATGGAAATTACAAGAACTTTTAAGGTTTTAGAGATTTCTTAAAAATAAAATAATTTGGTCTTTGTCAGATGCTTGCATCTGAGTAAGTGGGTCTTTGCCCACGAAAGCTTATGCTCCAACACTTCGGTTATTCTATAAGGTGCCACAGGACTCCTCGCCGCTTTTGCAGATTCAGACTAACACGGTAAATGATTTGATTGTACATACAGAGACCCTCTGACTAATGATTTGGAAAGTTTGTTAACTACTATTTTTTATTCTCTCCATCCAAGATTAAGAGCTTGACTTAGCCATTAGTATAGACAATAAAAAGAAAAAAAAAAGGGGAAAGGCCCACCCCCGAATGACATAGCTAATACCAACTTAACTGAGTGTCTACAAGGTGCTACGGCGGGAGATACTCTAATGACAACCGAGGTTCCACCTCTTGTTGACATGGATTGAACTACTTTGATGTAATGGGCATCCTACCGTTGATATGGTTCATCTTCACCAGAAGTGCTAAATCAACATGGCTGCATCAACAGCTGTAATACCACCAATTTAGTTTGGTAGTGAAGACAAGCCCTTAAGCCTTCTAATACACAGCACAAGTAGTAACAATGCAAAAGCCTCCACCCTATTTTGAGACCAGAGTGAGTGAAAAAGCAGCTAAACCCACATAATCCACAGGAACATATGACTGGAAGGGACCTTCGAGGTCCCCGAGTTCAGTCACTTGCTATCAGAAGCAATTCCATCCTATAATCCCATTCATAAATTTTATCAAACTGCATCTTAAAACTAGATTACCCCAACTACTCCATTGGAAGGCTGTTCCAGAATTTTACTCCTCTGATGGTTGGAAAACTTTTTCCAATTTCCACACTAAATTTATTACAACACATGACAAGGATTTCAGATGAAGGCCAATCTGATAAAAGAGCCAAGAAATTACCAAACCTAATAGTTTTGTAATGTATACATCTGTAAGACATCTGAATTTAAACCAAGCTCCTAAGTCTCTGAGCTATACAGTTTCTCTTATTTTCTGTCAAATCCACCTACCTATCCAGTTTGCCATTTAGCCTCACCTTTACTCCAGAAGGTAACATCGTTGGCTTGAATGCAATTCTTTTTTCCCCCCCAAACACTCATTCAGTGTAACACAGTCCAAGAAATAGGACTGCTATTTATTAGTTTATACCACCCAGTAATGTCTAAAAGCAAGTTAGGCAGTACACCCTGGTACTTACCCAGAAAAGCATAACTGAAATACTCCCATTTCCCTGCTCCTCCTAGAAATTGAGGAATGTATTGTATCCTTTAAAGTTGAACTTCAATTTTACCAAGATTCCAGATTTTTTTTTTCATTACAGAAATGCTATTAGTTGGCAAATTCACCCTCAATGCATATTCAGAATCACCTTTTCAATTATTGTTTCTTTATTGTGGAGTTCCAAAAGCTTTTTAATAGCACTTCTGGCAGTGGAGGAGTGCTACTTAAATAATTCCAAAGCAGCAAAGTTATACTAAAAGCTATTGTACATACAGAGACATCTGTAAACACCTCACATAAAACAAACTAGCTATGACTGCTAGAGACCATAGGACTGAAAGATTCTTATATTGTACAGGTGGACACTAACCATGATTTATCTCATTTTCCTCTTCATCCATTGGATTGATGTGTGTTCTAGGCCAATACTCTAGAAGAGCTTGTAGTAGAAGCCCTCCAAGATTCACTATAAGAAATAATTAAAAGCATAGAATATAGTTATGAATCTCTGACACACACAGCCAGTTTAGAGAAAAAAAGACACTCTACATTTTTAATATCAGCTCAAAACCCTGGCAACTAACTCTGAAGGTGCCTAAAGTCTTTTGGTACCTAAATTTCTGATGAAGTCCTTGGGACTTAAGTTTCTGCTTCTGGGTAGGTGCAGAGCTTGAATGTCTCTCACACCTTCACCATGAAGGATATGTGAACCATGTGAAAGTAGGCATTCCTTTTGCCCATCTCACCAGCTGGACCCGATTTCTTGGGATGCTTTGAGCACACCTAATTCCATACGTAACTGCCAGAGGAAATAAGGAAGAGCAGCAATGGAAAACTCCCTAACCAGGGCAGTGCTTTCCAAATAGTTGGTCCCAACCCACCTTTGCACTGTGAGAAAGTTTTAGATGGTTGTTACATCCAAAGCCAGATAAACACATCACTGAATCCTGACCTAGTCATACACTTTACCTGGAATGGATGGAAAGACTCAGGTGGGGTGAGGTGGTGAGTTAAGGATATTGATGAGCGAGCCTGCCTCGCACTCACCTCATATTGGGCCTCAGTGCGGTTCCCAACTCTGTTCGTTGCGACCAGGCATATGAAGCTGCAGCACCAGGTTTGGCCTGGCCAACCCTCCCTCATGACAGGCAGATAGGCCGAACCTGAATGGTGCTGAGATCTTCAGCATTAGACTGCACAGGGTGGGAGGGTTTGCCTTACAACTTCACCGCCACCCACTTAGGCTTCCTTTCTATGCTGGGCCAGGATTAGAGTTGTGGTAACAGGGAGGAGAGTGCATATGCATAAATAATGGGTCACAAAAAAAAGAAAAACTGCTGTTGGTGGATCATCTTAGTAAAATATTTGGGAACCTCTGGGCCTGAGGCATTCACCTGAGAGATGTGAGAATCCTGTTAAAATTCCCTTTTTGCAGGGCCCACCATTTCTTGGGTGATGCTGTCAATCACTGGGCCAAAGGTTGTAAGGGAGGCTGCCACTTCCTGTTAACTCCCCATTCAGACTCTTCTGTCCCCCGCAGGCTTCTGCATGGACTTAGGTGTGTGCTTCAATCTCTTTTGCAAGAAACATGCCTGACTCCAAGAAAGGATTCCTAACTGTATATCCCATGCAGAGAAAAGCACCTAATTCCCTTCGAGGGACAAGGCTTAGGATGCACCCTTCTTGGCATCTGCTGCTAGCTAGCTTAGGCAGTTCCCCACCTACCACTCTGGCTTTTGTGGATCCCTCTCTTAGATGCCTAACTCTCCCCATGAATGAAGCAGGGACCTGGCACCTAACTCAGGTTTATGGATTCCATGGTTTGCAAAACACCTAGAAGTTAGGTACTCCCGTGATCTGTTTTGTAATGCCTACATTGTTTTGTGGATTTGGGCCTTAAATCTTTAGTCTTATAGCAGAATTAACTTTTTCTATAATTCCAGTTTGAATTGTTTACTACATACAGTATTATAGTTTAGAACTTTCATGTAATAATTCCAGTCTAGCATTTTTCATTTTCCTTTTTGAAGGGCTATGTCAAAATGAAATAGATAAACTGAACCCAAGATTGTCGTCATAAAGCATCTTAGTGCATTTTTGTTGGAGGGTCGTTTGCAGGATTTAGTCTGAAGAGAAGTGGGGAAGTCCAAGCAAGCATAAAATTACCATCTGTCAGAAATACACGAATATGTATAATGTGGTTTTGTATTGTTTGAATTAAATGCTAATTTCAATTTAAAAAACTCACATTTTGGATCAGATCCATCTGGACTGCTAAACCCAGCATCTTTTGCTGAGACCCAAGCTGCAAAGCAGTCACTCTCATCTAAAGTAATTGTCAACATCTGTCAAAAGAAGACCAGTGGTAGGAATACAATATGAATATTGTATTAAGCAGCCTGCAGGTTTCTTGTATGTATACAGAAGACACACTAAGTTGCAACTGCAAAATATGGCAGTGTTTGATTACATATAGGCTGTCTACAAAACACTCCATTTGTCAAATTTTATTACATTAGTAATTGCAGTGTATAAGATTAAACAGACATCTCATTACAAAGAATTCTGTTATCAACTACTCTTCAAGATTCAAAGAAGCATTTATTCACATGTTGATTGAAAGATATATAATTTACCAGATAATCAAAATATAGTTTATGCCACACACACCCACACACACCCACACACACCAAACTAAATCTTAGAGTTAAAGCTATATATGGCTCACATAAGGTTTGCTTTGTGAATGCTTTCATGAACAGTCATATGAAATGGACAAATACTCAAAACAGAAAAGAATTTAAGTTGGGTCTTACCCCAGTTTTTAAGTCTACTGAGAACCAGTTTGGCACATACACCATTTTAAATCTCTTTTTAATTTCTTCTTCAAAATCTACTTTCCCAAGGTCTTCAACTTTACATGCCTGAATATTAAAAAATAAAATGAAAGAATATTAAAAATTCAGAAGTTTCTTAATACTGGTCATACAGTCATATCCACTGTTAAAACCTTTAATTTGTGCATCAGAAAAATGCATTTAAAAATGTACTGTATTCCCTCATGTGTATATCCTCTATATAATGCAATACTCAAACTTGAAGATTCTCATTCTCAGACGGCTGTACAGTGAATTATATGTTAAGTAAGCTTGTTAGTTTTCTGGGTAGCTTGATGCCACTATCTTCCAAACACTAAAACAAGGAAGAATGGAAGCACTACTTCAGAACAACATAAACTTCTTTCCCAGTGCTGTACATTGCTTTGCCTTGAACTATAGTTCATTTAAAAAATAAACAGACTGATAAAAAAAGCAACAGAATGAATATCAGCATTATTCATTACAAGCATCTACTAGTTCTATAAATACTACTTTGATAGTGGTATGTTAGTGATCTATTGACAAATTATTACCAAAATGGATTTTGAAATGTGCTTTATATTTTTAACTTTTTAATCTGAAAGAATTGCCTGTTCTTACCCTGTTGTCAGAAAAGACACTTTCCTCCCCTCCTCCAGCTGAGCCTGGAACCCCTAGTAACATCTGAGCAGTGTTATAGCTCTCAGATACTCTCTTAAGTCATGGAAAACTCTGGTATAAACATGACTTCCTCCCACTCCCACCAAAGCCTTCATTTACTCTCAGGTCCTTACACTCTCAGAATCCAATATAGGCTTCAGGAAGAGACAGAAGTTGACATCAAAGGTGAGTAACTCGTCTCTCTTTCCTTTAAATATAGTCAGTACAGATCCCCAGTTCTAAAGTGAACTGAATCATATATAGAAACTTGTTGTGAGCATCTCAGTCCCTGAAGGCAAGGTGCATTTAGCTAACCCTAGGGCATGCCTTTGGAATTCCCCAGTTATGAAATACATAAAGATGCTACCTGGTGCTTAGTTCACCCTTTGCACAGCATTTATCTCTAGACTGGGACTACTTCAGGAGAGCAGTTTTCTCTAGTAGCCTGATTAAATTTCCTCTTCATCAGTTTCTTACTGTTAGACAATTTCCCAAATTTGTACTGACAGTATCCAAAGGGAGAAAGTTACTCACCTTTCTCTGGAAGTCTTCAAGCAGACTGTTATTACAAATACACTCTTAAATCTCCAGCCCTGTTTCTTCAGTCTATAATGGAGTCTAAGGCACTGTAGGGTACCACACTTTGTTATAGAACCTTATCTGAAGCATTCTATGTATCAAGAAAAAGGGACAATTTCTCAAAAGCACTTACGCGCCTTAAAAGCCCATATCCACTGACTTTTGGAGAAATTTAAGAGATGAAATGGTGGTCACTTTTGTAAATGGAATTTAGGCATTTCTGAAAGCATTACCAAGAAGCCATGCAAATACCATAGTAATCAGGATTTTTGGAAGGCATATGCACAAATATGCAACATGAACTGGCATTTCCTGGTTTGTGCTGCTTACTGCTGACGTTTTGACTGATATTCCTCTGCCCTTTCCTCCATGCATTCTTACTGTGTTCACAGTGTTTTATTTTAAAAACACTATTTTAAGCACACAGATGTAAGAATGAACATTAATGCAACAGAAGAGACAATCATCATCCATTATCAATGAAAGTCTTACAAACTTGCACTATGTTTTATGGCACATGACGACCTATTTTCTCCAATCACCACCTCACATGCAGACAAATATAAGAGGAAACAGAAGAGAAGAAAACCATTAATAAAGGTCTAATCAAAATTTTACACTTACCTTTAATACATCCCAATATGCCACATTATTATTTGTATCTTTGGTTAATATATGTCTCTTGTCATTAAGAATGTGGCACTGAATAATACTAGCACCCCCTAGAAGTTAAAGAAGAAAAAGTCAGCAATGTCATTTCATTAAAAAAACAAAAACAAAAAACACAACATTATACTACTACAAAAGTAGAGGCTATTCCTCAGTTTCACCACATTGGCATGAAGCTATTTCAGCACATAATAAATGTGTGGTATCTACTGTGTACAAACAATTATGTTGATATATTGTACAGTCAATTGTTTGACCATATTTTATTTAAGAAATATACTCAAAAAATAAAATAACCAATTTCAGAAAAGTTTATTGCTATACAGCAATAACATAGTACATAAAAAAGGTTCTATATGATACTGTCTCATGCAGCAATGTTACATTCACCTTACACAGAAGACGTGCTCCCAAAGTTACATTCCTAAAGCGATATTTTTATGTCCTTTGCAATGCTTGTACAAGACATACTAGTCGACAAGTGAAAAAGGTACTGTACACATCATCTGAAACCAGATTTAACCAAACAGCTTTCTATATTGATTTACTGGTATCACAATGTACCCTTTGTTCTGAATGCATTCATTTCAGGTACAAAAGGGCATGAAGCACCTCTTAGGTTTGTATTAGGATACCACAATCACATATCTTGTCTACTTCCTTCAGTACAGGCGCTTCAGTACAGGCCTGAGAGAGGAAATCCATTCCTTTTGTTAATATAAAGCTGTCTTTTGTCCCTGTTCTTGACAGCTTCCATATCTTCTTCAAGGAGTTATAGGATACTTAGCATATGTGAGTACAGTTGCATTAAAAATAGGCCAATACAGGCTATATACTTGGAAGATCAGTGATTTCACTGACGCGAATAGTCTCGCCACCGATGCAGATCGCAACTTTTTTACAACGTCCTGTTTTATGAGGTCTCGTCCATGTCCTTCCAATGAATTCTCCAAAAAGGATCCACTCAATGTGCTGGAGGCCTTCCACTTGTTCTTTTTAGATCTCATGGATACCAATAGAGTATACGCGCTATCTGTTGTGTCTCAGTCTCGTTACATGACCAGCGCATCTCCTTTTCCAGTCCTACATAACTTGGATGATATCATTGACACCGCTTCTTGCGCATAAACTGTCAATAGTAACATGCTGTAGCCTACTTTCATGTGTCTTTCCATTGTTCTTTGGGTGGTTTGCAGCTTTAATTCTTCTGTAAGCATCATGTTCCAGGTTTCACTGCCACACAGCATTAACAAAAGGATACTGGTATTTAAGAGACGGGCTTTCACAGTGGTGGAAAGTTTGGGATCAACAAAAGCACTGTGCAGACTCCCAAAGGCAATCCATCCTGACCTCCTCCTCCTCCTGCTCAACTCTGAGCTCAACTCACTGTCCATCTGCAATACTTGTCCAAGACATACATACTCATCCACCAGCTCGACTCTCTGTCCATCTGTGGAGAATCCCCTAGGAAAACCTGACTGTTCCCCTCTCATGTCTTCCTTAAGGGCACCCTCAATATAGGCATAGATCATTCTCATAAAAGACCTTATAAAGATGAGAAAGCAGGCAGATGGGTCAATAGTTGTGAATGTCTTCTCGATCACCTTTTCTTGGCAGAAAAACAGTTCGCAATCTCTTTGAATCTTTCAGAATACTTCCCTCTTTAATGTATCTTGAGAATCTCTCAGTAGGTGCTTTTAAAAGTGTATCACCTCCCATATGAAGTTATTTTCTGTGTACTTGGTCTAAACCTGCCACTCTTCCCAACTTCATCTTCTGAAAGGCCGCTGCCACTTCTTCAGAGTGCACATCAGGTTCAGGAGTGACAAAGCCCAGGTACAATGGCTCCACTGCTGTCTCTGATGAAAATAGTTTGCTATAAAAGCACCACCTAACTTGTTCCATTTCACATCTGTTTGTTGTTGTTCTACCGTTCTCATTAACAAACAAGCTTGGAAGAGTTTGGCTTAGCTGGATTTCACACCACGCTCTTCACAAACTCGTTTTCTCTTCAACTGCCTTTTACTGTTTTGTGATACTGCTCATAATCTTCTATCATCTTCCTCCTCAACATTTTACAGATGAGCTTATACTCCAAGCCAGTATTGCCCTTGGCTGCCATGTCTCTCTGCCTGGCAAGAGATCAAGTGATTGCTGGGTAAAGATGGTTTCTGGACTCCTGTGGCTTCTTCACATTGGCAGCAATTTTACATTTGTCAAACTACGCTAAAAAACGGTAGTAATCGAAATCAATATCTTCGATTTTGTCCATTTCCCACAACTCAAGAGTCAACAGCTTACTTAACAGAGCTCAGTGGAATTGTTGTACCCGCACACCGTGCCTAACTCTTGCCTTTATCCCGTCTTCTGGTTTGATGTTTCTTTTGTCTCTTGCTCTAACCAGTTGATGATCTGATTGTACAGATGACAGATTCCAAAATTACTGTTACATCTGTAACCAGTCACCTCTTGTCCACCAGGACACAAACTCATTTCTTATTACATCATTCGCTGCTTGCCAATTCCATCAACTTCTGACCCTCTTCTTGAAGGTGTTCCTGACTTATAGACGCGAGGATTCTGCATAGTTAACCAGCCTTTGGCCTCTTTCATTTCTCATACCCAAACCATATTGTGTGATGTAGTTTTCTAGATTTTCTCCTATACCCACCATGGCACTGAAGTCATCAAGCACCACCAAGTATGTTGTTTTAATCTGTTTTACTCTACTCTCTTCACCAGCTATTTTCAGCAGCTAGCAATATTAATTATTTTTGAGATGGTCTGAAAGCCCATTTACCTTTGATAACTTGGTCAGGCTGTGTACAAAGAGGTGTTATAGGATTGGTACAGTCATTGTCATAGTCCCCAGAAGCTCTAAAATTATGAATTCCCTTCAAAGTCTAAAAGAAGAGACAAAAGCATGACAGTCAGCATTTGCAGAGATTGTTAAAACCTATGAATATAGTTAGCTATGGTAAGTGAGATAGCATCTTTTACTGGACCAGCTTCTGTCCATGAAAGAGAATCTTGTGTGTTAGCTCAAAAGCCTGTCTCTCCCCTTGATATAAGTCCACTCAGTCCTACTTCTTGTTCAGCCAATGGCTAATACAAACAAATGTGTTTACATTTACAGGAGATAATGCTCCCTGCTTCCTATTTATAATCTTACTTAAAAGTAAGAACTGGTGTTTGAATAGCACTGTTGTAACTGACACAAAGTTATTTGTATGTTACATGCTGAACATTCATAAGCCCTTTCATGCTTCAACTTGTAGGCTCTTAAGTTTTATACTGTTTAATTTGAGTGCACTTATGTAAAAATAAATTCTATATTTGTAAGTTGCACTTTCATGATAAAAAGACTGCAATACAGTACTTGTATAAGGTGAATTGAAAAAAACTATTTTATTTATCTTTTTTATAGTGCAAATATTTGTAATATAAAGTGAGCAATGTACACTTTCTAGTCTGTTATAGCAATCAATATATTTGAAAATGTGCAAAAATTCCAAAATATATATAATAAAATTTTATTATTGTTTAATAGTGAGCTTAAAAATGTGATTAATTGCACCTTTTTTAAACTTGTGATTAATTACAATTTTAAAAAATTGTTTGACAGCCCTAAAGTAATATTGAACTTTATTTTTAACCATTTATTGGACAAAAGAAAATTACTCACCCACTTATTCACAGAGGATTTAGTTGTTGCAACCCAAAGGGCTGGCGGAGGATCAGCTGATCTATCAAGTTCCATCTGAATAATTAAACCAAAAAATACTTTTAGATACCCTAAGTTTAACATTTTCTTTTCAAGAAGATTTTGTGCTCCTGTCACTGGCAGATGTGCCTAGAAACAGTTCTATCCTCAAGCTTACCGAAGAAATACAAGTTTCAATATAGTAAATAGCGAATTATAATTGCTAAGTTTATTGGAGATTTTAAATTCCATTAAACAATAAAAACTATTTTAAATCTTTAAAAACATTTTAGATGAGACTAAAAATTGTGTAGTTTAAATAAATGTTGAATATATTTAAGTAGCTTTTAGCTAATCAGTTGTGGTTTAAAATGTTTCACAACTATAGTACATTTGTATGTATGCACATTACCTAAGATTTTAACATTTGACATGATGATCATTTAAAAAAGATACAGTTACAAAAGCTCAGTACTACTAAATAAGTAGACTTGCAGAAAATTAGATTCACTTTCTAACTTACTATAGCAATAGAGATCCACCCTTTTAAAGCTTCATAGCACATTTCTATTCTGGCCCTATGTGTGATCATAATTTTTAAAAAAAAAAAATATATATATATATATATATATATATATATATATATATATATATATATATATATATATATATATATATATATATATATATATATATATATATATATATATATATATATATATATATATATATATATATATATATATATATATATATATATATATATATATATATATATATATATATATATATATATATATATATATATATATATATATATATATATATATATATATATATATATATATATATATATATATATATATATATATATATATATATATATATATATATATATATATATATATATATATATATATATATATATATATATATATATATATATATATATATATATATATATATATATATATATATATATATATATATATATATATATATATATATATATATATATATATATATATATATATATATATATATATATATATATATATATATATATATATATATATATATATATATATATATATATATATATATATATATATATATATATATATATATATATATATATATATATATATATATATATATATATATATATATATATATATATATATATATATATATATATATATATATATATATATATATATATATATATATATATATATATATATATATATATATATATATATATATATATATATATATATATATATATATATATATATATATATATATATATATATATATATATATATATATATATATATATATATATATATATATATATATATATATATATATATATATATATATATATATATATATATATATATATATATATATATATATATATATATATATATATATATATATATATATATATATATATATATATATATATATATATATATATATATATATATATATATATATATATATATATATATATATATATATATATATATATATATATATATATATATATATATATATATATATATATATATATATATATATATATATATATATATATATATATATATATATATATATATATATATATATATATATATATATATATATATATATATATATATATATATATATATATATATATATATATATATATATATATATATATATATATATATATATATATATATATATATATATATATATATATATATATATATATATATATATATATATATATATATATATATATATATATATATATATATATATATATATATATATATATATATATATATATATATATATATATATATATATATATATATATATATATATATATATATATATATATATATATATATATATATATATATATATATATATATATATATATATATATATATATATATATATATATATATATATATATATATATATATATATATATATATATATATATATATATATATATATATATATATATATATATATATATATATATATATATATATATATATATATATATATATATATATATATATATATATATATATATATATATATATATATATATATATATATATATATATATATATATATATATATATATATATATATATATATATATATATATATATATATATATATATATATATATATATATATATATATATATATATATATATATATATATATATATATATATATATATATATATATATATATATATATATATATATATATATATATATATATATATATATATATATATATATATATATATATATATATATATATATATATATATATATATATATATATATATATATATATATATATATATATATATATATATATATATATATATATATATATATATATATATATATATATATATATATATATATATATATATATATATATATATATATATATATATATATATATATATATATATATATATATATATATATATATATATATATATATATATATATATATATATATATATATATATATATATATATATATATATATATATATATATATATATATATATATATATATATATATATATATATATATATATATATATATATATATATATATATATATATATATATATATATATATATATATATATATATATATATATATATATATATATATATATATATATATATATATATATATATATATATATATATATATATATATATATATATATATATATATATATATATATATATATATATATATATATATATATATATATATATATATATATATATATATATATATATATATATATATATATATATATATATATATATATATATATATATATATATATATATATATATATATATATATATATATATATATATATATATATATATATATATATATATATATATATATATATATATATATATATATATATATATATATATATATATATATATATATATATATATATATATATATATATATATATATATATATATATATATATATATATATATATATATATATATATATATATATATATATATATATATATATATATATATATATATATATATATATATATATATATATATATATATATATATATATATATATATATATATATATATATATATATATATATATATATATATATATATATATATATATATATATATATATATATATATATATATATATATATATATATATATATATATATATATATATATATATATATATATATATATATATATATATATATATATATATATATATATATATATATATATATATATATATATATATATATATATATATATATATATATATATATATATATATATATATATATATATATATATATATATATATATATATATATATATATATATATATATATATATATATATATATATATATATATATATATATATATATATATATATATATATATATATATATATATATATATATATATATATATATATATATATATATATATATATATATATATATATATATATATATATATATATATATATATATATATATATATATATATATATATATATATATATATATATATATATATATATATATATATATATATATATATATATATATATATATATATATATATATATATATATATATATATATATATATATATATATATATATATATATATATATATATATATATATATATATATATATATATATATATATATATATATATATATATATATATATATATATATATATATATATATATATATATATATATATATATATATATATATATATATATATATATATATATATATATATATATATATATATATATATATATATATATATATATATATATATATATATATATATATATATATATATATATATATATATATATATATATATATATATATATATATATATATATATATATATATATATATATATATATATATATATATATATATATATATATATATATATATATATATATATATATATATATATATATATATATATATATATATATATATATATATATATATATATATATATATATATATATATATATATATATATATATATATATATATATATATATATATATATATATATATATATATATATATATATATATATATATATATATATATATATATATATATATATATATATATATATATATATATATATATATATATATATATATATATATATATATATATATATATATATATATATATATATATATATATATATATATATATATATATATATATATATATATATATATATATATATATATATATATATATATATATATATATATATATATATATATATATATATATATATATATATATATATATATATATATATATATATATATATATATATATATATATATATATATATATATATATATATATATATATATATATATATATATATATATATATATATATATATATATATATATATATATATATATATATATATATATATATATATATATATATATATATATATATATATATATATATATATATATATATATATATATATATATATATATATATATATATATATATATATATATATATATATATATATATATATATATATATATATATATATATATATATATATATATATATATATATATATATATATATATATATATATATATATATATATATATATATATATATATATATATATATATATATATATATATATATATATATATATATATATATATATATATATATATATATATATATATATATATATATATATATATATATATATATATATATATATATATATATATATATATATATATATATATATATATATATATATATATATATATATAAAATAAATTTTCCTGCGGGACAACAGAGTGACATCAAACAACACCAGCATTGTCCCACCCCCAGCTCCAGGTAGCTCCTCTGGCCTTTACATTGCTCCTCCATGGAAGGGTCATTTTAGGCTGCCACCACCAGCTACTGCCCCCACCCGCCTTCCGCACTGACTAGCCTCTTCCCTCGCAGCCTGCAGACCCTCCTTATGCCATGCTACCATCACCACTGGCTGGGCCTGCCGCCTGGCCCCAGCCACCTTCCCCACTGACCAGCTTCTTCTCCCACAATCCTACCTCTCGCGCCACCCCAACCCTCTCACTCACATCCCCCAAGCCGAGACCCCGCACCTCCAGTCTGCTCAATCACTGTCCTGCCGAGACCGCGCATCCCCAGCCCCCTCACTCACCGCACAGAAGAGACTGTGCAACCCAGCCCCCTCACACACTGTAGTTCTACCACCTTGCCCCCCCATGAGGCTGAAGTACCAGCACCAGCTTCCTGAGGGAGGTGGAGGGGAAAAAGTCCTGAGGCTCCCCACGTTCTGCAGCTTCCCTTCCCCGTCCCTTGGCTGGGAAACAGCAGCACAGGGACCCACATCAGAGAGGCTTCCCCACTGCTGTTTCCCCAGCTGGGGCAGGGAGAAAGGAGTGGCAGCCTGTGGGGAGCCTTAGGGCTTCCCTCCACAGGAAGCCGGCGCTGGTGCTTCAACCTCATGGGGGGTGAGGGCTGTAGCCCCAGCACAGGCTCCCTGCTACGGGGAGAGGTGGGGCAGCTGAGCTGGAAAGTGAGGGGGTTGGAGGTGCAGGGTCTCTGCAGAGTGGTGAGTGAGAGGAGTGGGAATGTGGGGTTTTGGCTGAAGCTGGGGGACGAGGCTCCCAGCGCTGCCCCAGCCTGTTTACTCACTGCCCTGCCGAGATCCCACACCCGCAGCCCCGGGGATGTAAAAGAGTAGCCAATTAGCCTAGGCTTATCTGGTAGTCGAGTAGACTATTCACATTTACCCCTCCTACCCGCCTCTATATCAGAGGCAGAATGGGTGAGAGGAAGCAGGAGCTGGTGCTGGGGGGGGAGGGAGCTGGCTTAAAAGTGGTTTTCTCCCAGCATCATCTCCATGGTGCTGTTTCTCCCCCTCCAGTGATATGTTTAGAGTAGCCAATTAGCCTAGGCTTATCTGGTAGTCGAGTAGACTATTCACATTTACCCCTCCTACCCGCCTCTATATCAGAGGCAGAATGGGTGAGAGGAAGCAGGAGCTGGTGCTGGGGGGGGAGGGAGCTGGCTTAAAAGTGGTTTTCTCCCAGCATCATCTCCATGGTGCTGTTTCTCCCCCTCCAGTGATATGTTTATCGGAGGCACTGGTGGTGGTTGGGGGGGGAAGCAGGCTAGGGAGACTGCTCCAGCAGCTGCCAATATCTCAGGGGGTCCCAACTTCCGGCTGGGGCC